CACATCCAGTCATGGCTCCCATGCCATGCGGCTCCGCACCCAGAGTTGTTGAATCTCCGCATCCAGCGCCTGTCGGGACAGGGACAGCTGGTTACAAACAATGGTATCGATGGCCAAACAAAAATTCACCTATATATATATATATATATATGCTTGTTTTTTGTAAAGATCTTAGCCATATCCCAATGGTTTTTCTCGTGTCCTCATGTCTCCTATGGCTTATGGAATCGAAATAAACAAAACATATATATATATATATATATCGTCACAAAATGCTAACTGTGACTGTTGGCATGCAACATAGGGCCTAGCACAATAGACAAAATGGGAAAACATTGTCTAATAGATGGGCTTGTCTGAACATATCACTATACTACAGATTATGTATATATATATATATGCTTATCATGGCTCATGTATAATTACATCCTACACATATCCTATATTATATTATAGTTACTATTACTATGACGTCCCCCTAGTGTTGCAAATACCCTCTGAGCTTGTTTCGGTGTTTAGACCTCCACATGATATTCCCATTCGCCCATGCTACCACCATTGTTGATGAATAAATCCCCATGTTTGATGATTACGTCACCATAACTAGCAATACACATATATATATAAATATATGTATAAGATGACATATCACTACATATACGGTTAGTATTAAGATAAGGTCACCATATATATATATATATACACACTACACATATATCATCTTATTTAGATAAACATATATATATATATAAGGACTATCTATTACTACAATCTGATTGTTTTTGAATCTTGTCTCCCCAACAAAAAACACCACACCTGTCCAGAGTCTCGCAGCTTGACCAGCTCTGCCTGCAGGGCCCAGTTCAGGTCTGGTCATGGCGCCGATGTGATTTCTGTATAGACTTTACACAACTGACTTATGCAGAGATTGTATCGATTTTATATGATTTTATCCGTAAGTGGATTACTGGTTGGTGGTTGAGCCACCCCTCTGAAAAATATGAAAGTCAGTTGGAATGATTATTCCCAACTGAATGGAACAATATAAAATGTTCCAAACCACCAACCAGGATAACTCTATATGGAGGTTTCTGTAAATGGGGGTATCCCAATAGCTGGATGGCTTATTTTTTCTGGAAACTCATATCAACCACCAACCAGCCATAAGTGGATCAGATTGGATTAGACTGGGCCTTGTTGGCTATGCAAAATCCCCGTGGGACCAAATCAGCTATGAATGGCTAGGGAAAGTCACCATGTTCAATAGGTAAAATCATGGCTACACATGGGCAATTTACCCTTTCTCAACAAGACATTTTGGATATAACCTATGCGTTTGTACTTGTTGCATCCCTTGACCCTGAACGCATCAACAAAAGTTGGCAAAAGCGCCAACATCTGTGGGTACATCGTCCCTGTTTATGGGTTGAGGGTCGACGGGTAGACTTTCAAGTTCTTGGCCATGAACTTCCAAGTCAAGCAGATATATGATTACCTGATTATAGAATATTATAGAATATTGTAAATGTTTATAGTAGATTATAGTCTATTAACATCTGTTAACTGATTCTCTCTGTTGAACCTAATCATCAGCCTCTCCCAACAAACTCGCACCTTAGACAGCAGCTGATGCGCACAAACCTGACTCTACATATCTTGGACGGAACTCGTCGGAAACCTCCAATCTTCAAGAGAAGCACATCATTTACATGGATTGTTAACACAAGATTCCCATCTCATATGGTTATCATCCACTGCTTGGTGGTTGAGCCACCCCTCTGAAAAATATGAGTTCGTCAATGGGAAGGATTACATCCCATATATGAAATGGAAAATAAAATTCATGTTCCAAACCACCAACCAGTCCATGTACTTATGTCGTGTTTTCCATCTCATATCCCCACCGTTATCCCCCATTTTAGATGGTCAAATCCTCCATTTTCGATGCACAGCCGGGGCGTCCGTTCTCAGTGTCTGGCCATCACAGGTGTGTACCAACTGGCTGGAGCCAACAAGGGCTCGCCCACGCCTCCCGTTGATGGCTTCGAAACACCAATAGGACATGACATATCATAGGAATGTATTGGTTAATCATATATATATATATACATGGGTTATATTATGTTATATTCATATTATTAACCCCACGGCAAAATTGACCCATCAATTGTCAGATAGGAATATTATAACCCACTATCATTTATGGTGTTTCCCAGTATTTATATATATAACCAATATCATAAGAATACAACAGGAATATAACCATATAATTTGGGTTTCTCTGCAAATTCATGGGAAAACCCACTAAATCCAGCGATGAATCATCATGATCCCATCATTTTCGCCTCAAGGTGCAACACGACAATTTTTCGGGGTAGACCGGTAGACCCTATTTCCAAACAAAGAAAAATGGTGGATATATATATATATATATATTTGTCTACTTGGCCTCTGAAATCTACCAGATGATGGTAACATCTGTATTGCGGATCAATCTAATCTGCACCTGCTTCTTCAAAGTGGGTCGAAACTGAACATTAGCAAACACAAAGAGCTAGGGCGGAATGAGCTCTTGGCTTTAACTCCTGATTTGTTCACCTCATTCAAACTCAAAATGAGTATGTGTTTCTGCGTGCTTGTTCGAAGTAGAAATACATATCAAAGTAGTCCAATTGCAAAAAAATGCAAACTCAAACCAAGGCCATACATACAAGAAAAACTGCTGCTGGCGATAGAAACAGTTCAAACCAGGCAACCACGGGATTAGCTAACTCGGGTGCTTCCACAATTACAACGGAATGTACACACCTTTCTAGGCCCCAAATGTATACTGTAATTAAGTTGCGTAAGGAATACCATTTACCCAGTAGAAGCTATTACCCCGTGAAAATTCGAGGTAGTTTTCAAAAAACACATAAAAACACTATGTTTAAGGCAAAGCATCATAAATCATCTATAATTGTGCCATCTATACCATGGCTACGTAAAATAACCAGAAGGTTATTTAGCTAATTGTGAAGGGATACGACCTAGCCACATTACACGAACATTTCCAGGATCAGTAGACTCAGCACCCAGCAAGCACCTGGTGAGACGGGAGCCCTGCCACTTGCATGCAGCAAACGATAACCACGCTCCTCGGCTGCGGCTGGAAATCTGTACGTTACGAGCAACTGCCACGACTGGAGTTATCCGAAACGGTGGAAAATCAAACGTGGCTAGCTGGAAAATCCACCGCAAATCGATATAAATGAAGGTGTTAATGGTAAAATCATCTAGAAATAGGGACTTGTCCATTGCAATGTTTGATTGAGGGTATACCGCTTTCACAACGTAGGCTTTAGGTGATTGGGACCATACTTCAATCATGATACCTGTATAGAACTGGAAAGCAACCTGCAACTTTAGGGGACAAAGATGAAGCATCTCACCACGTGGTACATACCAATGGTGTCACACCTAGAGCTTGAGTGACGTCAATGATTTCGTCAAACGGCCATAGCTTCTAATCAGTCAATTTGTTGAAGAGTACAACATGTCTTGCTTCGTGTGCGTGCTGGCCGCTCTTTTCCAAGGAAGGTGCCCTCACGACTACATCATGGCCATGAATGCATACATAGTGTGAATGAACTTGCATATCCGTTACTTCTACAAAATCTAATGTACAAACGTATCTACGTACATCTGTCATGATAATATATATATATATTATCGCAAGTAGAGATATTGCATTGAAACATCATGACTACTCCTCAACCAAACGCACAACAACACGAACAAAAACTTATATGGCAAGGAGTCAAAACCCTGGATGTGTTTTATTCCCTGAAATATCCTAATAGGTTTTGCCCCTTCCCAATAAAGGTGGTCAAAAACATCTACAATGTCATCGTTCAAGGAATGAACATCCATCACTACCAACTCCTTTAGGGTGCTCAAACCCACGTACTGTTGGGTGAACTGACCCATAGTCATATCCCTTGCCCTCTGGTAATAAAACATGACAGAAAATCCACCAATGATACATGAACTCTCCGTTCAAATGCCCATTTATAGTGGATTATAGTGGATTTCCCATCGCCATGTGTTTACCCAATGTGTACACACCCCACAGCTACCACCGTAAGCCGAGTGACTTTGGCAGATTTCTCGAAATCGATACTGGCCATACACCTCGGGCGTTGGGATGTCCCATAAAACGGAAAATTTCAAAATTGGATGGTTACCCTCTGGTTATGTCAAAATAGCTATTGAAAATGACCATAGAAATAGTTGCTTTTCCCATTAATAGCATGGTGGATCTTTCCATAGTTATGTAAACGATTACCAGAGGGTAAAGAAGGTTCAAACCATGTTGAATCCAAGCAGTGACACAACCTGCCTGTGCTTTCAATGTCTTCCAGAAACAATCTGCCTGATACCATGACCTGCAATCTGAGGATCCGAACTTCACTTGGACTATCCTTTAAACTACCCCGCCAGAAACCGTGTTTTAGCATGGGGATCTATTCACTTTGGGACTTTGGGGGCCCATTTAGGGATTTCAATACAGGGCAATCATTGTCATCACGTTTGCTGATTGTTGTCAGCCCAATGGCAACTCTGTATTAACAAATATGGGAGGTACCACTTATAATTGGATTTATCATTATTTTGAGGACCCCCTATGATTAGGGTGCAGTTCCAATGAACTAAGTGGATATCAAGTATCAAATTGGAGCCCACCATATCCATAACCATATGTATCCATTTGACTAATATGGGGCTCCTATATAGGGTTCCTATAGTTACTGGTTGGTGGTTTCAACCCCTCTGAAAAAAAAAAAAATATGGAAAAAAAAAGTCATGTTCCAAACCACCAACCAGGTTATATATCATATATCCATATAAAATCCATACCTACAGGAGCCCCATATCAAGTGCCAAACGCGGCTGGAGGTGAATTCACCAAGTCCTACAACCCAGCTGGGTCATCAACTTGTTTTTATATTCCCCACAAACACCGGCTACAGATATAAGCATAGTTAATCATTCCATGAAAAAACCATCAGTTAACCATAGTTCACCACTATATTCCACTATGACACTACTTATTAACTTATTAATCTAGTGGAATATGGAATACTTCCCATCTATTATTAACTCCCATCTAGTGGTATTCCACTATGATTCTACTATAGTTTCATACTTCCCATCTAGTTACATTCCCCATAAACAAAACGTCGTCCTCCGTCGTCCTCGGCCCCGGGGTCCAGTGGGTCCGGTCCACTGGGTCCACCGACCATCCGTGCAGCTTCTTCAAGAGCGCCTGAGACCCGGCGGTGCCAATGGCCGTCGCTACCTGGCGATTTTTCGATTCTTCAGGGCCCCCTAAAAATATAGGGGATGTGAGTAGGAGACTCACTCAGAACCACAAGATTTCAGGATTACCCATGACGGATCCATGTATTATTTATGTATGGTATATTAATGCTAACATGACTGGGGTATATTGATGGGATCCATGGCACACCATATATAGCAGCACCATGGATCCGTCATGGGTTGTGTGAGTATCCCCTTCCCTAATAATCACAAACATTAAGCAAGTTACGTTTGTGTAACTAACCTTCAGGCAAATATATGTGGTTTTTCACATGGTCCAACATGACTTTAATCAGGCAAAATGGTGGATTCACAAGGATGATTTGTACCAATATTTTCCAATGAATGGTGGGAGGTACCGTCTGGTAATTTCACATAGCTAACTGGCAAATCACCATTTTTAAGTTCGGTAAACCATCTATTTCTATGGGCCATCTATACCATAGCTATGTTAGTTTACCAGAGGGTATATCCCATTAAATCCCATTAAATCCCATTAAACCATCATTTTCCTATGGTTTTCCTATGGTAATAGACCATTGAAATCCCATTGAATGGTGGCTAGACTCCACATCTTGCTTTGGAGGGGGTGGTTTCACTGTTTCACCATCTGCCTGCTGCCGGCGGTGCAAGAGGCTTGCCAAGACCTGCCCGGAGCTCGCTCGCTCGCGACCAACGGCGACGTTTACGGGGACCCCACATGGTAGTACCAATGGACCTACAAAGCCCATGATTCTTGTCAGAAGTAAAAGACTTCCCAAAAAATCTGTAAATACTTCCTCTAATTGATCTACCCTCTGGTAAACTAACATAGCTATGGAAAATCACCATGCTATTAATGGGTAAATCAACTATTTCTATGGGCGATTTTCAATAGCTCTGTAACAAATTACCAGAGGGTACGTCATCTAGTCTTTACACTTACATATGTTCAGGTGGATGACATTTTGAGTCCGACTTTCCTGGAACTTCAATTATGAACGGTGGCCATGTTATCCTGTGTGAGGTCAGGAGATTCACCAATTTGCTTCGATTCATGTTGGAGACCATTCCATGACATTCCCCATACCCTCTGGTAAACATACAAAAACTATGGAAAATCATTATTTTTAATGGGAAAACTGGAAAACTCACTATGTCTATGGCCATTTTCAATAGCTATGTTTGACATAACCAGAGGGTATCAAGCAACGTTCAGACTGGCCACCAGCCCTGCCCTCCCAAACCGTTCCGTTCAGTCGCTGCCTGTGTCACACAGGCCAGGCAATCTGCCGGAGGTGTCTGGGTCTCATCATCGCCCAGGGCATCTAAACAGGCCTGCCACATCTGGGGACGACGACGAAAAATGTGGGTCATTCTGGATGGAAATGGCTATAGAATCAATGTGGGACTTATGGTTAATATATACTTAATGTATGGTTATTATATGTTATTAGATGGTTAATGATGGTTATATAATAATAATATGGTTGGTGGTTTTAACTCTATCTTGAAAAATATGAGTTCGTCAATGGGAAGGATGACATCCCATATATGAAATGAAAAATAAAACATGTTCCAAACCACCAACCAGTATAGAATCAATGTGGGATTTATGGAAATTGATTATTCATGGTGTATCTTCAGTTGAATGGGTGAACATAGACTCAGAAAGACAAACATAAATGGGGGAGACCACATGTTACGAAAGAGGAACATGCTACTCTACTCTAAAAAATCCCTCAATGGTACAGCAATTGCCCGGATCTGAACAAAAAGGCCCGACTGAAGAAGTGATGGTGAAATCCACCGTGGATTTCCACACATCAATCCCATCACCCTAGCCCTAGCTGGTCCCATGTCAGTTGGGATGATGAAACTCCCCCAAAAAAAAATGGAAGAACAAAAATTCCATGGTTCAAAACCACCAAGCAGATACTCAACAATAGTTTCTGAGAGTGTTGAATATTAGATGATGAAAGGGATTAATCATGATTAATCCCAAGTTTTACATGTCCACCACGCCCATATTTGGCCACCCTTTTCCGGCGCTCTACGCCGTACGGGCCTGAACCACTGCAGAGGCGTTGGCTTCAGTGCCGTTCTTCCCGACCTCGGGGCGGTAGGGCTTTCATGGGATCGCTGATTGATGGCTAAGTTGACGCACATCACTTGGTTGACGTTTGGGTTGATTACCCTCTGGTAATTTAACATAGCTATTGAAAATGGCTATTTATAGTGGATTTTCCCATTAAACATTGTGATTTTCAATAGCTATGTTAAATTACCAGAGGGTAGGGAATTATAACAAACTAGAATCCAACTAGCTAACGGCATTATAAACAAACTTAGAATTGCCCCCCCCTTGTAGAATCCCTTCCGCCAAACAATGCGCAAGTTGTTCCAACTCATCTAACTTCATTTGGACTATCCTGGCAATCGTCTTCCAAAACTATTTTGAATATCCCCTAGAAACCATGGTATATGATTGGATCTATTCACTCAATACATATGGCAGGTATCACAGGTATGATCTCGGCATGGGATTTTTCACCATGTCCGTTCATACTGTGGATGGCAGAAATCCACCAGGCAGGTAGATGGTTTATCTAACTCTACTCCTTGTATTTATAGTGTTTCATAGGTACTAATAGTTCCTAACTGGTGCAAGAATGTGCAAGATGTATTCCATCCACAGTATGTCTAGCAGTGGAATGATAACCCCAAATAATTTGAGACATGTGGTGGACCATGTCATACGTCCTCTACATTATGATATGTATCAAATCCAGCTGTCCGCATGTCTATCTAATTCAAGACTTGAAATTAACGCATGGCTCAAAATTATGGGTCCTTATATTCTATGCAGTCATCATGCCATTAAAACCACTGTTTGACCTGTGTCCAAGCCTACATGACTGGTTTCGGCCTCCAAAAAAACTTGGAGATCGAGAAGCTGTTGGATGACCGCGTAGGCCCAGTCCGGCTGGACCGAGTAGTCCGGTCGAACCCTTCCATGCCAGTGGACTGGGATGTTCGAACCCATCACCATCAACTCCGCCCATGCCAAGGCTTGAGCATCGGATGCTACGTCAGCCTTGACCACCGGCATGTGGTTTGTGGTGAAGTCGCTTGCTCTCCTCTCTGCAGCAGTGAGCTGCTCCCTGGTCAACCACCAGACGCTTCGACCTCTCACAAGGTCACTTGCGATGGGCATGCCCCCCGGCACCGGACCAACCCAGACCGAGTCCAAGTCATCTGGTGTCCAGTACCACCCAAGCCACCTCCAGGGTTGACTGGAGGCCTGGTTGTCGGGCGTGGACCAGAGCTGCATCGTAGGAACTCGCCCATCCACTCGCAACAACTTGGGTTGCTTGATCAAGGATGCGGGCGGTGAGGGCAGATGCGGTCAAAGCTTTGGGGCTGTCTGGAATGTTGCAATCCCAGATTCAAAAAAGAAAGGTTCAACGATGATAATCTAATAGCTGAATTCCAGAATTGATGGTGCAAATGCTAAACTCCGGGTTAGTGATTCAACATCCAATAAACTGTTTTTGACACACATGCTTAGCAAACCAGCTAGCCATTACTCACATCTGAAAAATTAGACTACCCTCTGGTAAACGTTTACATAACGATGGAAAATCACCATGCTATTAATGGGTAAATCAACTATGTCTATGACCAATTTCAAGTTCGCAAACTGTTTCTTTACCAGGCCGGGTAAACCTCCATTTTCCTATGGTTTTCCTATGGTTTTCCTATGGTTTTCCCATTCAAACCTCCATTTTTGATTCACAAAAATCCCAATAGCTTGGACTGGGATGGTTACCATATTGTTGGCCATATTCTGTGGGGATTTTCCATGATTTTCCCTGGAATTTAGGCCTGAAAAATAGAGGCCTTATATATGGTAGGTACCTCCAATTTAGGTTCCTGAAATGGCCATTGATGTGATATACTTCGATTATATTCCCAGAATATTCCCACTATATGAAATCCTGATGTTCTAATGATCATCATTCCATTCCAGGCTAGTTTCTAGATTGATGTCCATCCCATTACATACACAATTAACTATAATATACATACCTTGAAAACCCAACGTTGCATAATTTTAGGCATGGGCTGATTTGGAGGCAAAAAGTGTAATCTTTGGAGTAAAAACGTAATCGCAATCAAAAAGTGTAATTGTTGTTTCTTGGCTCCATGTCCCAATCACTCTCGCTGATCTCTTTTTGCTCGGGAGCGGCGGTTCAGACCCGCACAAGAGCCACTGCCTGGAAACTCAGAGATTGACAGGAAGTATGTACCTTGAACATCCTGGAAGTATATCTGAGAGATGTACACCATATAGCATCATTCATTTCTTCCTGTTTCTTTTCATCTTTCTCAGTCGAGAAACAAATGCTACTCCGTAGCGTTGAAGGGTTCGCCTGATTGGCAGTCTAGGGCTGACATGACGCGTTATGCGTGATATCCTCCCTATAAAGTCCTCGTTTTGTTCACAGTTGAAGATACAAGGGTTCAACGTGTTTTGCTGAGCCCTTTCATGGGAGCCTTTTAGCTCGAATACTGTATGGGCCAAGGCATGAAATTTGGGTCTCATACAAAAAAGTCTTTTTTGTTTGTCCTTGGCCTTTTTCGCGCAAAAACTGTAGCATCGCAGAGCTTTCAGCCCTTCTTTCCACATGAGCCCACAACAGCCCAATGGGAGCCACAAATCATGGGAGTGCATGATTCCCAAAAAGTTCAGTAAACCTTGTGTAAGCTGCTGCATCGCACTGAGCAGCTTCTTGTCACCGTCCTTGGGATCCCTCAAGCATAGCTTCAAGAAAAAGTCCAGAAACATAAGGGCTAGGGTCACATCAGCACCCTTACCTCCCAAAAATGGAAATGATCCAGCCTTCCCAAAGTGCAGGTTTGCACGTGTAAAATTTTTCAGAGATGTTGTTTTCTTCTCTGTTTCACACCACAGCTTATACATTCGAAATGCACGGCTAAGTCGATCAGGCAGGTTCTTGAGGTCTCCGGGGCTGTCAAAATATCCCATGTAGGAAAGCATCAACAAAATGGATGCAACCGCTTCCCTTCCCAGACCATGCTTTATAACATGGAACATATCCCTCTTGTAGAGAAAAGCCTGGTAGTCACCATCGGCTGTGAATGGGACTGCAGCCAGTGGCGGTGGGTGATTTGGATCCCATGGAACTGATTGTCCCACCTCAGAATGGCAGCAAGGTGCATCTAGGAAGCAGTGGGGGGTATTGATAACAAAAAACAAAAGCATATATTATTTGTTGGAACCAATTCCAAAAGTATAACATGAATTCGCTTAGCAACAGTAGGAAGCCAAGCTGGGTGGTCTGACACATCCCCAAAATTGTCATCAGCGTCGCATTCCGGGCACATCAACAAATTGTTGGCTGTACCTACCGTCATGTAGGATCTAAGTAGATCTGCGCACTCTACATGGAATTCTGCATCCCCCTTCACTCCGATCAATGCAAAGTAGTACCGAGTGGAGTTGATGCTAACGCCATCCCAAAACAATGTGGATAGGTTTGCAGCCATCTCTTCCATGACCCCACCAAGTATAGTTGCGCTATCATCATGATAGATAGACCAGGGAACAGATGTGAAGAGGAAGTGGGTCAAAAATGAATGTCCTAAGTCAGGAGTGGTAAATTTCACATCCCTCACCCAAGTTGTTTACCCCAAGAGTTGCATTCGGGTTCATGGCTTGGATCCTTATAGTCCTTGGTTGGTGGTTTCAATTTGTATTATCTGTTGTTGGGGTACATTATATAAATAAATATAATATAGTTTTAAATATAATAACACAGGGATTTATATAATTGAAACCACCAACCATACGATGAAACAAATCCCACTAGTACTATATATACAAATTTATATATGATGTTGTACAATACTAATATAGCCTATACAATAAGCAACATTGTTTTCAAACTACATTGAGATATAACAAAACCAGGGCTCCCAAAGAATTGTGGGTCTGAATCCCCTTGTCCACATTCTGACTGAGACGTCTCTTCTTGATGGTGCATTGGGCTGCTGCCTCTTCGCTGTCTTGCCAGGCAGGACGTTCACAGCATGGTTTTCCCAGGTGGCCAAGCTCATATTTGGCATCCATACGTTTTTTCACATAAGCTTCATCATCTGTATTACGAAGGTTTGCCGGTAGGCCCCAAACACTTTCCCAGCTGTAGTTGGCAACAGGTGTCTTTTTCAGTGTACGACCTTTGTCACCATGGATGCAAATCGGTATCACTTTTGACCAGTCTTGGTGATGCTTGTAAATTGCATGGTTGGGCTGGTAAGACCGGAATTTGACCCAGAACTCCTGGCACCTGTGCTTGCCATCCATGAGGTTGTCTCCACCCAGCAAATTCTCGGGGTGTTTCTCCAGTAAGAACTTGGCCATGTCATTAACCTGCAGGGCAGTAAACAATGGAGAGATGTCAGCTATGTTGGGTCATATTTTGGGGGGAATCTCAAATACCGAAGTGGGTTTCAAGCAAAAGAAGCTTGTGGATTTACTATATACAATATATTCCTTTTTCGGGTTGGTTACCTGGCCTTGTAATGCGGTATTGAAACAGTTTGACCATCTTCAAGAGGCCCCAGTACCAACTCAGTGATAGGAACTTTCAAGGACAGCCAATACTTTTGAAAGATTCGGTGGGCATCCCTTTCACCATGAGAAGGGTGGACTTTGCTGGCATCTCGCAGGCTTTCAACGTTTGCCCCATCTGCCACGGCTGCCCGGGCCACGGACCCAAGTCTGCAAGCTGGGGCCTGGGCCGGCTTGCATGGGGAGCCATACACATGAATGGGATAGAAACTGGGTTCCACGTTTAGATGGCTTATTGAAGTTTAATATATATATATATACCTCAATAGTCACCGTTTCCTTGATATTACTTGTTACCTGGGATGAGCTCCTGGCACCATCGGCTATTTGATCAGCCAGAAGTTCCAGCGTTCCTCTTTTGGATGAACTCTCACCTGGCATGGGCAGAAAGGACCAATAAATCTAATTATTTGTATAGTTCATTGATGGGGCCGCCCTTGATGCTCATATAGTGGAATATCAACAACCTCAAAGATCCCCAAAATAAATCAGTGCAAGTGCAAGGGTTTTCGGGGCTGCTTTTTACTGTGCCTTAGAGCCCAACCATTTTGTTTTTTTGGGAAGAAAATTGCAGAAGAAAAGTCAATATGGCAGTTGTGCTCTGTTTTCCCTCTTCCTGACCCCTTGCTGCTGAAGATCCAACAGTCAAAACCTAACGAGCAAACCACTGTAGATCTATCTCACTTGCGCTGCCGCTTTGGGGCAGGTTTGGGAGCCCCCCCAGAGTTTCTCTTCGGGGTAGCTGCTGGCTCTGACTTTGCCGCTGCTTTTGCACAAGCTGGCTTTGCAGCTGGCTTGGCTTTGGGTGCAGGTCGATTGGGAGCAGCTTTCGCGACGGGTGCTTTGGGAATCACAGTCCTGCGCGCACCAAGAGGTAAATACCACTGGATGGTAGGCCATAGTCCAGGATTTGAAAAACCATGAAAAAATAGTGGGTGAATTGAAATCCATGCTTTTGAGTGAAAAACGGTCCTGGCCCTCTGCTCGAGGTGATAGGCTTCCAACAACCTTGGGGTATTATAAATAAATATTTAAACTGTAAACTTTAAACCCAGATCAGGTGTTAATATAACCAATAGCCAGACCTGAGGTCTGCACGTAGCACGGGCTTTGCTAACAAGTTCTTTCAATTCGGCTTCTTTCCTCAAACCACCAAGCTGTGGGCACAGGTACCCTGGATCAGATATATAAAGGTATGTTTTTACCAGAAGTGGTAAAAAACCTAAAATCAAAAAAACATGTATTAAACTGATTCACTGAAGCCAAGATTTGGAAATAAGAAACCAGTAAGGCCATGACGCTTCAGAGAAACCCTCGAGGATTCCATTCGATGTCTCTTCAGAGATCTTGTCACTGTGGCCCTCAAGCTGGTTATAAAGTTCCTGGATCTTCTCGGAAATCCTAGGCTGTGATTGTTTGAATCCTGTATGGGGGCGATGACTTAAAACAAGTGAAAATGTTGATGGGATTTCTTTGCAACATTGCATTCCAGTTTCAACTTAACCAAGTTTCTTCTTGGACAACTGGGATTCCACGACCCCAGGCACCAACAGGGACTCTTTGGCCGCTTCCAGTTTCCCCATTCGTTTGGTTAACGCTGTGTTCACTTTGGTGAGCATAGCGCTGGACTTGTAGACATCTTGGGACTCGGGGTACCCCAGCCTTTTCAAAAGCTTAAGGGTTTCAGTCACTGACCCCGGTGGCGCATCTCCTCCATCCCCCGGCGCATTCGCTGAGGCAGCTTCGTTTCCTGCCAAGCTTTGAGACAGCGAGGACCATGGGATTTAAGGGGGCATTTTCTGAGGACTAGCATTTTACCAGTTTTATATAATATAACATGCATGACATTATCCAGACCTGGCCTTGTAAGGGGGCTTCCATATCAAAGTCCATGTCAACTCCATCCACTTCTGTCTCAAAGTCTTGGGATTCCGAGAAAGTTGCGCGCTGACGATCCCTTAGATGTAAAGGAGAATGAACTGACCAACGAATGGCATTTTAAGATAGTTTTTGTTCAGTGGACTCATTAGAATTAAAGACATGATACTTGCTGTGCCCCTTGACATCAGTCTCCACGTAGAAAGTCCAGTCATCCTTCTGGGCATTCCACCTAGCAGGGCCAAAACAACCATGAATTTCATCATCACGATCATCATGACCATGATACTGTAATCACGATCATGATTATCATCCTCCTCATCCTCATCATCATCATCATCATGATCATCATCATTGTCATCATCATCATCATCATCAGCAGCAGCAGCAGCATCAACATCAACGTTATCACCAGCGACATCACCATCATCACCATCAGCATCACCACCATCTCCATCACAATCAGCACCACCACAATGGTCGTCATCATCATCATCATCATGAGGGATCATCAGCAGGGATCATCATAATCCTCATCCTCATCATCATCATCATCGTCATCATCATCATCATCATCACCATCATCTCCATCACAGTCATCATCAGTGATCATCGTCATTATCATCATCAACAACCACACCATCAGTAAAGTTCAAATATCAATATCATCAGCACTATCCATGCACATACATCACCATCCACCTCCTCACCATGACCATCATCATCATGTATAAAAATCCTGCAACATCATCAGCAACACTCATCAACAAAGATCATCATAATAAAATGATTGTTTTGTTGAAGGTCACACACATGTATATCTCTATAAACAAATATTATATCACCAATGTTGATATATGTGTCCCTTGTTTTTGCTTTGAATTTTCAACCTGAAGTTCTGAAATCCTACCTTATGTACTTCTTTGGGTTCGCTTTCGCTCTTGCAATGATATTGGTGCGTTCTTTCCTGGGCAAGAGGAGTCACTTGCAGGCATCATGGATGCATGGACGCATGCAGTAAAACAAACATATATTATAGAGACATCGTGAACCATTTGCAACAAAGCTTCTCTGATTTGTCTTGAAGCTCTTCTTCGGTTTTGAACTCAAAAAACACCCCAAGCTCAAATTCCTTCTCATGGTCCCTCCTTATCGAATATTTCTTGATGAACACGCTTGGGTCGTTGTTGCACTCCATAAACAGCTTGAACACTTTCTGTTTGGAACCCTCCTCCCACATTTTTCTGATTTGTTCACATACTTTGTGCTGGCCTTTTGCGTTGGGTTCCAGCATCCTTCGAACCCGACGGTCCAAAGCCCCTTGGCTGACCCCGGCAGGAGGAGGGCAAAACTCTTTGTCCAAGTTCCGAGGCTTGACATCAGGCTCGGGTTCAATATCTGTGGGAGAGCATGGTGTAGACACAGTTTCAACTTGATAATCCAACTTGGTTGGGGCAAACAATGAACTGGACCGACCATAGTTCAAAGTGCACGTCTCATCTGGTGGATAAGGAGTAAAGGGTGGGCTCGGCTGACGATCTGGAAGCTCTTCACCTAAGATATTTTTTGGTGTCATGTGAAAAGATTCAATGGCAAAAAAGGTAGCCATAGTTAACTCAAGCTATGGCACCAACAATTTCAAAAAAAAACTAAGCATGAGACGGAAAGGCGATTCTTCAACCAAAGTCACTTCCTTCCAAAGAGGAATAAAAACAACATGAAACATTCTCAACCGAGCAGTGGTTCACAATCGACCGGCCTTCGAGGCCTTCACATCCTTGGAAGTTTTCGAGGCTGGCTGTCCATGGACATCCTGCAACGAGTTTGGATCGGGTGCATGGAAGCTTTGCAACACAAGATCAAGGATAACACTCTATATACACAGCATCAGATGATATGCAGTGTGTTTTTTGAAAATATATGATCAAAAGAAAATGAAAATTTGGCATGCCATCATATGCCATCGATCCCTATAATTATATTTCCCTGATCCCATTATAACTGGGTTCTTAAGCTAGATGTCACTCTGGCTTATAACTATATTCTGTGCTATATAGATTCCATATTTATCTCCCATGTCTTGCCTCTGAAGGTTCCACCTGTGGCTTTGAAGCCGAGGAGGCGAGACCGGCATCCAACTTGCTATTGATCTCCTGCTGCAGCACAAGGGGATACAGTGGGAAAGAGTGGCTAGAGTTGAAAGGCGTTTCATCCTGGAATATCCCCAACAAATATCATCGTAAAAAAACATCGTAAAGGGTTCCCAAAACTGAAGTCACAACACTGATCAGCCCCAAAAATCCTTCAAGCGAGCTCGGAGTGCTCTCTCTTCACTATCCAAGGGAAAGCTGGCCCCCACCAAGTCATCCACTGGACGGGACATGACTTCCAATCCCTCTCCCAGAGTCGAGGAACTAGACAGGAAGCTTTGCTTTTTCATGCTGCCTTTTGAGCCACTGGGTCAACACATCGGGAGCAAAAAAACACGTTCAGAACCATAAAAAATGGGCTGGATTCTGTTCCGGGAATTTCCGTAATTTTTCCGCCGATTTCCGTCATTTGGACGGTTTTTTCCGTAATTGTTTTTTGGGTATTTTTTGACAAAAAATGTCGAAATTCACTGAATTTTGATTTTTTCCTGATTTTCCCCAATGAGTCCGAAAGTTGGCATCACATGGCCTCAGAGGCTCGTAGAAGCTTTGCTTCCTCCTCATTTTTGGGAATGAGTCCTTTAAACTCCCCCGGCAGACTAACAAGTTTTGATCTCCTCAAATAAAACATTACAGACTCCAGCTGCGCTTCAGGCCACAGATCATCACCTGTCGGCCACTCTTTGTCCTGGAAACGCCACTCCAGCAGGCCGCCCACCTGCAGTGTTGGGACTGTCAGGGTCCCTGGGAGCTGGGCTGTGTGCAGTGTGAACCTATGATTGGTCACTTTGAAAGAATTGTAAAACAATCAGCCTGGCCTCTTCAACCTTCTTTGCCTCTTTGGCCAAATATTTAAACGAGGGGATGGTCTCCACCACCTTGATTGCAAACTTCAATGGATAGTGCCTGAGCTGTACCATTTATGATGTTATGGTAAAGGGCCTTATTGAAACTGCAAAATCTCATTAACCCATCAAATGTGCAATCTGGGTGCTCTGTAGATTTCAAGTGCTTGCTGCCCTTGTAACCACATTTCCCAGTTCTCTTGGAAACATATCGTTCAGCTGTTGGTGGGCCCTTGATCTTCGAGGTGGCAATCTTTGGAGTAGTGAAAACACGCACAGCCACATTGTTTGACCACAGAACCGTTCTCTCTGGATTGCTGTGTCCAAAACATGACATCCAGAATGCCTGTTTGAAAATAGCGATGCCATGCTTTTGTAAAACTGCGCATAGCCATTGCATTCTTTTTGTGAGCATAAGTACACTGGAACCAGGTTGTTCTAGTAGGAAGGTGTGGCCAAGAAGCACCAGAACGAGAATAAGCAAACAGCTACGTGCTGCTAACCCATTGGCTCTCAAAACAGATGGAACTCCAGAGTCACCATCGGGCATCGCATGTGATCTCTTTGACGTTCCACTGTTCATATGAATGAATGTACAACATTCAGTTGCCAAAAGAGAGACCATTTCTTCATCGCCGAAGAGGATGATGGCGATCACCAATCTTAGATAGAAGATCAGTAAAGTCAATGTTTCAAAAACAAATTTGAAGTCCACAATTTCAAAGTACATACCCCCGAAGTTCATAATCAGACAAGATACATAAACCCAGAAGGCTTCAACATATCCAGGCTTTTTGAGTACAGGAAATCTACAGCCTTGGACTTGTAGCCGCTCCATTCTGCCAGCCTGGCTGTTCTTGCCTGCCCAGAAAACACTTCTAGGAATTGAGTTCCTGCAACATCCTTGTGTGTTAAGTCCATCGAGGCAACCATGATGATAATCGCCACGAACTCCTGACAGTTGGATTGATACTCTTTTAATTTGAATCCTGATGAAAAAAATCATTTGGAGATCCAAGGAATTTGTGAAATTACATGCATGCATGTATCCAGTCCTTGGGCACCCCTGGTAGGAATAGGAGCTTTCGAACGAGGGACTCATGACGCTGCTGCATTGCAATATATCTCCAAAGTTTGAACCCTAAAGAAGCTGCCAAATTCTGTTTTTAAGGCAAGTTGTACCTTATTAGAAGGAAGATCTTAGAAGGTTCAACCCACATATACTGGACACATGCGCCCCCCGCTGCCAAACAGGTTGGAGAGACAGTCTGCTTGCTGAAGAGCTCCATGTGAAGCCAAAAAGGCTTGGCCTCGACGCACCTGCCAGGCAAGGCTGCTGGGAGTGTGGCACCCTGTGGTTTTTGAGTGGGGGCTGCTTACAAAATGCTTGGGGATTTGCTAGATTATCGTTTCTCTTTGAAACAAAGAACTGATATAAGGTTCGTTATCATTGCATCTCGACACCCTGCCATCGCAATGTTTTTTCTCCTCTCGGATGCCAGTTGTCTTGCAAGCATCAAAGATGAAAGCTGGTGCCGGTGCAATGGGTGCAAGGTTTCTCCCTGCAATGCACTCAAAGATATGGAAGTTTAAACTTCCGATAACCCCATGGGCTATTGTAAGCAGCTGCTCTGAAAAAAGCAGCTAACAGCCTTTCCCCTCAAAAGTTGACAGATCAGCCGCTGCGCATTCCCACATTCTAGGGGGTTCTCAGGTAGTCAACCGCCAAGTCCAAAACGACATTCTCTAACTGATCCAAAGAAGCTGCACCAAGCTTGACTTTGTTGGTCTGCTTGCAGTGCTTCCAAAAGGAATCCTGGAACACAGGAGGCAACCCCTGGAAACTTGTTTGAAGATAATGTTCTTTTATGTATTTTTGGGTTCCCAAATTGCCAGAGTATGTTATAATATCATCAATGTTGGGTTTCAACATCATTTCAGGCTATACTTGGTGGCTACTTTGACTTACTTAGTCACTTAGTGGTGCTCATCAAGCTAACTTGTGTTTGGTATTTCGGCCCATTTACACAACAGAGTTTTGAATCATATGGTGTCCTCATGCTTGGATCGGGGGGTAAGATGCTTCAAAGATTTGCCAAACACGGTCTTGATCGCCAGCCACTCAGCCCCACCACGGTCGCCAGAAGGCTGATTGCGGCGGGCAAAGCTCACTGCTTCTCCCTTCGGCGAGCGCTGCTTTCGAGGCTTGGGGGTGGGCGTGTCAATTGCTGGATCCTTGGCCTTTCCCATGTCCTGCTTGGCCTTGCTTGGCTGCTTTTTCTTTGACCTACTTCCCTCTTCCAGATTGGGATTGGTGGCCTTGCGCTTGGGGGTAACTAGGCTCTCATCAGCATCCGCTGTGACCTTTTCCTTTGCCTTTCCCTTTCCCTTTCCATGTTCCTTTTCCTGTGCTTTTCCCTTAGCCTTGGCCTTGGCCTTTGCCTTCGCCTTACTTTTAGCAGCAGTGGCCTTTGCCTTTGCTTTGGCTGCTTTGGGTCTACCAGGGCCACGTTTGTTGGGCTTGGCGTCTGCCAAGTCAGCATCTGGCTGGGGCACTCCTGCAAACTGCTCCAAACGGGACATCGGCTCCTGCCAGGATGGCTCAGGTAGAAAGGTATTAGTATTATATTAATACATATATGTTCACTTGAAAAAAAACAGTTGCAACCAGAACTATATAATATATATATATATATTTTTTATAATATACATATATATATATATATAATAAATTTATTATGATCTATATATGGTTCAGGGTATTGGGGTTCCTGAAGAACAAACCTTACAGTTTTGGAACTTTTGTAAAGCCATGTCCTGAAATTCCATAGGGTTGAAAGCACCGTTCTCATCATCATGATCTTCACCCTCCTTACTGTCACCACCAGTGGGAGCATCAGGTTCCTTTTCATCCCCATGATCGTCGGGTTCCTTCTCATCCCCCAAAGGTTCAGAATCTTTCTCTAGATGTTCAGGGTCAAGAGTAGCAGGGGCTCCAACATCACCGCCCTTGACCTCAACAATCACATCACTGTCAGACTCCGTGATCTCCAAACCTCCGGCGCTGGCTGCAGGAACAGCAGGGATGGTTGGTGGCTCTTCGTCAAGGACAGGGCCTTCAGATCCTGGTGAAGTCTCTCCAAGAACCAAAGTACGTTTTTTCAACAGCTCATCATCATGGGCAGGGCTATTGGACTGAACTGGTTCTTGTGGGGGCTCAGCAAAGTCAAAGGGCAGGGTCTCCACCACATCTGGGTTGAATCCTGCATGCATGAAACACACAGGGGAAACCCATAGATACATGTCCCATAAACATTACCGTGTATTTAGTTGTTCAGTTAAGGGGTAATATAGTTATATATATATATTATATATTATATATATATATTATATTATATATATATGTATAGTTTATTCATTTAGGGGTAATATAGCTATATAGTTATAAGCATCACTTTTGTCGCAGGACCCAGCTCTTTGGTTCAGTCCTGAAGAGGCTGCAGGCGCTGTGGCTGGGGGAGTTGTCACTGGCATCCCCCGGGCCTTCTTCATGTTCTCCAACTGTCTCCTTGTGATTGAGGGTCTGGCAGATGGATTGGAGACCCTTTGGAGAATCATCCCACAAACCATCAAAAACCCAAACCCATATTCCCCAGACGAAGTCAATTGAAAACATAGGTTGTCCAGACAAAGCCTTGTTGATGTTTATTATGTAACCCCTAACCCAATCAGAAAGGGATATGACATTATAATAAGATGAACACCAGGATTCAAAATACTTTCTCGTTCTGCCATCAAGAGGGCCCTCGAGGCATCAAGGGTATCTCGTGGTTCCGGTTCAACCACTGGAGCGGCTTCACCTTCACCTTCAACCTCACCTTCATCCCCACCCAAGTCTCCCCCATCCGCTTCATCACCATTGGTGACCTGGGTCCCTGGGGCTGGTGCTGCTTCAAGAAGATGGCCCCAGTGCTCAGTCATGAGATCCATCAATCGGTGCAGCTGCGTGTCCTTATTATAAGGTCGAATCGGCTAGAGGGATATATAATGTGCTAATTGATCAGGATCCCATAACCTATCTTTGAAACAACCACATTATAATATTCTATGTATTTCTAGATGTATGATATATTACAAAAATCCAAGAATCTCTGAAGTTATTGATGGGGGCCCTCCAGCGCCTCAAACACAATGATATGGACCGTTTGACACCCCAGGCATCGAGGTAGATGTTGATGGGCTTGGGCTCAATGCTGAGAAGTTCATAAAGCTGCTTCACCTAAAAACCCAAGCAGAGTGATACTTTCTCACAATCCCAAAAGTAGTGTTTCCAAAATAAGAAGCAATTTATTTATATAACATCACATGAGGTCTTACCCAGTGCATGTTCTATAGAACCCTGATTCCCCAACAAACCAAAAAACTGTTTGTGAACACTGGCCTCATCCTTCAACCATTCAACGGGGGGAGGTTTGGCATGGTCTGGGCAATGGGTGGCCCAAACGCACAGTGCATCACCAACGCACAAACGGTTGGCACTCAAAGACTGCAAAGTAGCTACGCCAGTCAGGTCAACCTTAGGCCACACCATCATCTTCCCTGTCAGTCTCAGATTCTTTCGGATCTGGTGGTTCTCCTCCCACGTGTCAGCAAGTAGATGGCGGGTAGGCCATGAAGATGCATCTTGCTCGTACTCATCGTCAAGAGGCGACGGGACGGCATCAACTGGGTCTGCCATTGTGGGTTCGCTAGAAATTAACCTTTGATGGCCTGACCTGGGGCCACCAGAGTTCTGAACCCTGAATGAATGCTGCAGAATTCCATCCATCAATCTCAGCAGGTGCTTCCTGCACAGTTTCTTTTTCATTCAGATATCTTATCCATATAAACTTATGCTGGTTTCTTGGTCAATAAACCCATTCCATCAAGATTGTGATTCCCAAGCCGGCAGCGGCAGAGCCTTCATAGTTCATAGAGACGGTGTCAGCAGCCATGACCTGCGCAAAGGGCAAAGCACCAACAAGTATCAAACAGAAAGGGGAATTGGGTTGACCTACACCCCACCGGGGTACATATATGGGGATATCTCAGAATGAGGTGCCTTTTTTGGTTCCCCAAAATTACTTTAAGAACAGCAAAATCTTCATTTGAGATATCACCATATATTGCACAGGTGCATGATGGTGCATGCACATACATGCATGCAAAACGATTCTTTTCCCCTCTAGAGATATCACTCGAACTGCGCTATCCTCTAATATCCATGGTATGGTCCCCACAGCCTATAGAACGCTGCCTGTTCCAAATCTGACTCCACCAAAGGGATTTTGATTTTGCGATTAGAAACAGCCAAGAAATAAAGCTGCAAAGCAGCTGCTTGCAGACAGATCCCTTCTGAGTCAGACAGAAAAGAAAAGATAGGGCATGTACAGCCCAGCTCATCGAAAAAAAAAATCCGGGCAATGGTTCGGTCACTTGTTCTCCACGAGACCCTTCCTTGCCAGTTGAAAATCCCATCCAATATATGGTTTTGATTTGTCATGTTGTAACTTATATATTCCATGTACATGAAGTATGGATGACATATTACCCAAATTATGAAAAAGACACTGCGCTGCATTCAAAACTCTCCTGTCCCTTCTCCAATCCCGGGGCTTCGCTCTGCTCGGAGGCATTTCTCTCCTGGAACATGGGCCAAAGACTGCCTATAGTGAAGCTGCTTAGGCTTGGCAACTCAAAGCTTATATATGTTATATATATAATTATATATATACCTGGTAAACCACAAGTATGCAGAATTTTAGTCATATATGTCATATGTGATCCAGATTTCGCAGTCCTGCTTGAGCAAGTCTGCACAAATACCTCCAACATGTATGTTGACCAAAATAGTCCGGAGTAGATCATCAGGAGCTGGCTGCTCCTGATGACAAAAAGTGGTAATCCACAATATCACATGAGCAAGAGTTGCCGGAGTAGATTCATGCAGGCGAGTTGCAGCGCAGCTTGAAGAATAGAGAATGTCGACACATTTGTCCCAAAATGCATCAGGAAGATCAAACAGGCCTTCAGAACACAAATGGGGATGATACTATCCAAGGATAAGTTGAGATAAACAGGGTTTCCAAATTTATTGCCAAAATCCTGGCCTTCTGCCTTGATCATGGCGATCGATTCAGCTGAGCATTGGCTAAGTATAGCCCCTGCCATCTCACCTAAACTGTTCTACTCTTGAGACACATACCTACGGTCAACAGATATGATGTTCAAGCTGCTCCACCCTGAAGCTTCTGTGCAAGCAAGGCAAAAGGTGGGCAAGGGGGGGGCACCTGGAAGCTCTCCACTTCGGACCAATGGGGCTGATTTCTTTTGAGCCCGGTGGCGAACAACCCTTGTAGGTCACTTTTCCCCATTATGATGTCAATTTTCCATCACCAAGACTGTTTGATGGCTAAGATGTGCTAAAAGTGGTGAATTCCCCAAAAACGTAATTTTTCATCACTGAAATGGGAAAAGTGTAATTGTTTGAAAATTCATTGTTTTTCCCGAGATTACTAAAATTCTGCATACTTATGGTTTACCAGGTATATATATATATACACATATGATCATTCATTCATATATATATATATGTATCCCATGACATATTTCCATGCATCCCATAATATATTTCATTATATTCCCATTTTAGTCGTCATGTATTTCATTATATTCCCATTATATATATATATAGTCCCATTAATATCCTATAGATACCAACATTGGAGGTACCCAGGTTAATATATTAATATATGCTACATCAACCAATATATCAACCAGGGTATCCTATTAATATGGTTGATGTACCCTGGATTTTGTGGGTACTCCGTCCATGATTTTCCGAAACGCGCTTTCCCCAAGCTGAGCTCGCCACGGTGTTGTCCCAGAGCTGAATAGGTACAGCCACCTGGTGTCCCGGTGTCTTGCCGATGCTACAATCAACAGAAACTGGATCCGCGAAATAGGTGATCTAAACCATAGATATAACAAACTATACGGATTATGGTAGATACATCCATGGATATCTACCATTTGTCTATTTCACTAAGTGTACTATATGGTTTATGGTAGATATTGGTAGAGAATGAAAATTATACTTAGATGGAATCTAAAACAACTCTGAAACTGGCTTGGACCCCAGATTTCAACGACCTTTTGTGATTGTACTATCAGGCATCATCAGTTGGAGCTCTTCTTTTTCCTCATTCTTTTGCTACGAAATCCTGAACGGTTTCGAATCTTGGGATTTCAACGCAGGAAAAACAACGATGATTTCATCGACGAGATTGCAGATTGGATTGGGCCAATGAAAATAGGGAGATGCCCAACGCTAGATTGACTAGATGGTGGTAGTAGATGGTGGTAGTAGATGGTGGTAGTAGATGGTGGCAGATCTCAAATTATCCAATTAGAATTGTCATACTTCGAATCACATCAATATTTGTCGGATCATTCCGCTGAGAGTCCCTTCAGCTTTTTTCCCTATTTTATACCCTCTGGTTATTTAACATAGCCATGGAAAATGGCCATGTAAAAAAAGATGCTTTACCTGGGTTTACCTATTGAAACATATAAAAACTGGTGATTTTCCATAGCCAAATAACCAGATGGTAACATTTCTAAGTGGCAAGCTGCCAGCTGAACGGTCACCGGGTGATCCTACAAGGACTTGCCATGTCGAAAGGGTGCACCACCAACACTTAAGTTATACATATATCATCGCATGTAAAATCGCAACCCCTTAATTATGTATACATATGTATGTATCTATATTATATAATATATATATATACACATATGTATCTATATATATATATACTGGAACTATGTCTATCTATATATTAATATATATATATATATACACATAATTCTACATACATATTTAGTCTTAATTAATCTTTGTTACATCTATATCATATAAAGTATGAACATCATTGAACATCTATGTTTCCCACGCCGAAAATGACTCGATCAATTCTTGGCTCCCCACGATGAAGGCCATCGCATCTGCCACCACGGGAATGGCCTGCCGCGACGCACGTCTGTCCCGAAAAAATCGATATAAAATGAAAATAAACGGTTGCGTTAAGGGGAAATAATCTATAAATGGATATCACATGAATTAAATGGGGGAATTGTCCATGCTCTAAGCATTTACAAATAGGCATTTTATCTTCAAAGCGATGCAAAACTCTCTGAAACTTAGAGAAACACAATCATGAAATTTGACAAATTGGTATCTTATCTCCATTTTTGGTAGCTGGATATGTTGGGTCACTGTGCAAGAACCTTTAAACCTTGACAAGCACCTATAGTAGTTGGTATTTTACACAAGTCTTATGGGTGAGCTGCAGTAGCTGTGTTCACTTTTCTCAGTTTGTGCTGTACAGTTTCGGTTTCTGAAGCTGAAACCTCTTAAGAAGCTGCTGAATTTGCCCTGCAAATCCTTTTCATTTTCAATACGATTCACATATTGGCAAAACTTGTGATTACTTTCCTTTTGAACATGTAGCTTTCCTAATCAGCCATATTTGCGAGGTGAGCCCTCCCACATACAAGTTGGCTTATCACCCCATGAACTGTACATAGGTATATCGCCCAAAAAGCCTAGCCAAGTTCTGAACCAAGTTAGCTATCGAACGGGGGCCCACCTTATTTTGGGAGACCACTCCACCCGGCGCCACCGCGCCACTGGGCTCGTTTTTCTCAGCGATACTTTTCGGTCCATTTCTCTAGCGTCTCATGCAGCAAATCTTTTGCTGACCAATGCCTCGTAGAGAGGAATGAGCACCTGCCACCAGGAAGAGCCCTGGTATCCTCTGGTCATTTGTGCCGGGCTATGGAAAATCACAATCTTTAAAAGGTGAATCAACTATAAATTGCTCGTTTTTCTATAGCCAACTGTTGAATTACCAGAGAGTACGCTGAATTACTGGTCGTGTGGAAAAACACTCCTGTTGGGTTTGGGGTACGGGCCAACCCTCAAGAAATATCAGTCTTATGAACCATTTGAGCTATACCATATACTTGAACTCCACATCATGACTAATCTTAGATACCCGGCATGAAAAAGACAAACATTGGTCAATTCATAACCCTGTTTAAAGCAAGAGATTGAAGTACTAAACTGAGTATGAAGAGGGAGCCACAGCGATCCCTGGGAGTTTCTTTTGTGGATCAAGTTAACTATCAAACCATGGGGGAGCTGATAAACCACTTGCATGGAAGACCCCAATTTCAAACAAACTCATATCCAGCAGACCCAGTTGAAAGGTCTATTCTTCACCTCGATTGGTGGAGGCCAAAAAGAGCATGGCAGCTATAAAACATCCAACATATGTGTGACGATATCAACAACATTGTGTTCCTTCGCACAATTTCAATGTGTCACAAGCAACGGAAGAGATGGCTTTCTGTTTGGTTCTCCAATATCAGCCTCTTCCATCATCCCAGCCATATCCGATTCCCCCAGCCATCAAGTCATCCCGGTGTAGTTCACCGTGCCAAAAGTTGAGTTTGTGCTGCCCCACTTCGAAGTTGGTTTACAAGCCAATTGAAAGAATACATATCTTTCAATATTGACCCAACATATGATTGAATCTGAATATGATTGAATATGATTTATATATTCACCCTAGATCTCCCAATATTCAATCATATTCACCCACTCATAACCCATAATTTAGCCAACATAAAATGGCGCACCACCTAGTTGCACATCAACCCGCAGCCGGCCAAGCTGGCCTGTGTCTCTGTTCTGATGGCCACCTTTAGACTGCTGCTTCCGGGGCTCACCGTGACTTCCGCCAAGACGGAGCAGTTGTTGCTGGTCTGGGCCGAGGTGTACAACGCCACCGAGCCATCCTAAGGAGATGCCATGGGCCATGTGGTTCTTTACCCCCCAATTCTCGGATGCCCAAAAAAGGTGAAACTTTGAACAACACGGATCCAAATATATGACCTTGAGGATGTTCCTATTGAAAATTTATGGTTGCAGCATGGTTTGGGTGACTTCATGCTCGTGACAGCTACACAGGATAAAACCACCGAACTGTCATGTATTGATTCATTGTTCAGAACCGCAACATACACCTCTCCCTTCCGACACCCTCTTCGATGGATTGGTGTGTACAGGAAATCGTACTAGGAAGACCCCATCAATTTCCTGGGGTTTCCCCATGGTGTCCGCTTAAGATTTTCCCAACAAGTAGTTACAGTAATCAAGTTAGAAGTTAAACAAGTCAACCTAGCTATCATACATCATGATCAGCTACAATGTGCCCCCTCAGTTATTTTTGTTGGTTTGTAAGCCCCATTAAGTATAGTTATAAGTATAGTAAACTATATTAGCTATCGAACGGGGGCCCCACTTTGTATAAATCTCATGAACAATCCCTAAAGTTATGGCCCTTTACCAGTTATAAATACTTATAATCCCATTTATGAAATGTATAATCCCATTTCCAACCAGTTGTTTCACCATTTATCATTGGTAAACGGCCATGACTGTATTGCAAATCTCCTGCCAAGTCGCTTCCAGCTGCCGCTGCGCCACGTAGCAAATGTTGTCTTGTGCCATTCGGCTCTTGACCATCTCCTGAGGAAAGACGGGCCCCGTTGAACGTTGTGTGTAAAAATGTTGCCTACAAACATGGGTACCCAAGAAGTTGACTCACCAATAAGTACATGTATTTATGTATACATATTATATATATATATATATACATATATGTATGGATTTCATCGTGAAAAAACTGGGATTTTTGAACATCAAACCTATTTTTTAACCAACCATCCCCATGGTTAATCATTACTGTTCCTATGAAACGACATGAATTTGTTTGGGTGGAATATAGCAATTTCAGACAAACCTCTATGGGTGTTTGTAGGTTCACCAAGCAGCCAATGATTCTGGAGATTTTCAGCCAGTACTGCGCTTAGGTTAGGTCCTTAAAAGTATTTTTGCCAGTGACCCAGCTGCGTCGCGAAAAAGAACAGGACTGACCATTACAAGTTGATGTCACGTGATGTTTCAAGTTGACATGTTTCCACAGCTTTGTGGGTTCGATCCCAATTTTACTGATCAATTCAAGATACTGGTTCGACCCTCCAAATACCCAGGACAAAAATGGTAAAAGTACTCAGATTTTCTGGGTTTTTCCCATGGGTTTTTCCATGGTAAACCCATGACTTTCAAGGCAACTTGGATGGTCTACCTCCACCATTTTATGGCACCGTCGAGTCGCGGAGTCGAGCGGTCGATCCATAGGAATTATGGCCATTTTCCTCGGTGACCAACTGCAGTCGGTGAAGGTTGCTTGGTTATGTACTATTAATATGGTTAATGATGGTTGATAATAATGGTTAATCTATGGTTAATCTATGGTTAACCTATGCTTAATTACCATTGGTTGGTTAGTAATATATTTACCACTATGCTAATTTACCACTATGGTTTAATATGGTTGAAAAATCCCATGAATTATCATACTTAGTTACTTAACTATGGTTAATATTAACTATTAATATTAATGGTTAATATTAATGGTTATGATGATGGTGAATGATGGCTAATAATAATCTGGTTGGTGGTTTCAACCTACCCCTCTGAACAATATGAGTTCGTCAATGGGAAGGATGACATCCCATATATGAAATGGAAAATAAGTAATGTTTGAAACCACCAACCAGGTGATGTACTATAGATATAGATGAACTTAGTGCTACTATGTTCATGTATGTTCAACATAGTTATAATCCTATGGGTTGGTTTCTAACTACTTATATGTACCTAAATGAATCACATATTATAAAATTATGGGATAAAACACATTTTTTTGAGCATACATGGCGAGTCTAGGTAGGTGAATTCTATCAGTTGATGGTACTTATTACTACAATTAGATGATGTTAGATGGGCAAACATAACTGGAGGGCCCCCCACCTTGCAGCAACTATGCTAGCGGGAGAATCTATGGGATAAATAATTGCAGCAATGAGTGCCATCTTGTTCAGGTTGTAAGGCTTGCCATTTGCGTTTCAATTGGATGCAAAAAAACAACATGCATCCGACATATGAGCAAAAAAACCTGCAAGGTCCGCCCCAGTGTTTGTTGGTTTATGGGGCCACCTGGTGGATTTTTTTCCGGACTCTTTAATGCCCATCCTTGGTCAAGCAGCCAAAGTTTGGTGGTCAAACCACAATGTGCGTTTGCTTACACCCCAAATGTTTGGTTTGCTGAGATCTTCATATCCCAAATGTGTGGTTTGTCAGGATCCCTACCATTTTTTTGGCCAAGATCTTCCATAATCTTCTCCAAAGATGTTCTACCAGCTGTCCCCAAATGTGTCCTATAACAGCACGCCAAGGGTCTGGCCAGCCTCCCCCACGCGTTGCCAAATGGGCGTGAAGTCGTCGCGGCTCAGCGCCGCATTCTCGACCAGGACCACGGAGAGGTCGAATTGGACGTGGAAGTAGAAGATGTCCAGCGAGGTCTTGATGGCCACCTGGCTGGTGAAATTTCATGCAGTGAAGGCCACAAAAAGATGCCTTAAGTCACATCAACTTTTTTGGACAGCACAATTCCTATTGCGGGGAAGTTGTATTTTGATGATTCTAAACGAGAAAAAAAGACTTGTGGTGCAAGTGCAACTCTTATGTTTTTACCCATGCGTTCACCTTATGTAAAGATTATCTAACGTGTAAATATATATATATATACATAAGTTATGAGGATACAACAAAGAATATATGGATACTATCGAGGTTCTGATGGTAACCAGTTGTATATGGATACTATATTGATATACATATTGATGTAAAAGTGCAGCAACCTGGCTGGCCGTCTCCCAATTTGATAGTTGGCAACACATCCCCGGTAATATCAATGTTCAGTGCCAAATCCCATGAAATGACAATGAAGATGTCCAGGTTTTGATGGCGACCTGCTGGCAACTCAAGACATTAATCTAATATATATATATATTGTATATATATATGTATATATATATATATTAATATATATATATATACACACGTATATACGTATATACAACCAACATAACTATTGATATCACTGTTATGGGGATAGATCATATTGATCTATGTATTAAATACCATTTTCTAACCACTTACTACCCATAGTGTTGCTTACAGTATGCACGTTTTGTTCCAACATTTACAACTGTTGTCAGCCTGTTATCCCAATAAACTTCAATCAATCAATTCCCCAGGCTCTTGCTGTCAAGGCCACAGTAGAGCTGGAACCATAGCTCTGAAGCGCTGCATTCACCAGATAGTGGATCATAGTAACTAGCCACTTAGGCTTATACCAGCTATAGTTCAATGACTTTCACATTTCCATCAATAATTCGATGACTCTTCCACGTTTCATGACAATATCAACGAATCTATATAGACTCCACTTGTTCCCTAATTGGTGGTTTCAACCCCCCTGAAAAATATGAGTCAGATTGGATCATCCTCCCAACTATGGGGGAAATAAAAAATGTTCCAAACCACCAACCAGATATATTGTTATTCCAATGATCCACCATAGATTAACCATAGATTAACCATAGATTAACCAGGAAAAATTCCAACCAGTTCCCAAATGTTTTCCATATGTTTTCCCATGTTTCATGACATTTCACCCATCTTTTTAGGGTCATTTGACCCACGACCCCACCTGCAGCAACAGTGGGGAGCTGGGCGCTGTGTTGCTCAGCAACTGTTGTGGCGCCATGGCCACGGAGACCTGAGACGAGGCAGAGACATATTCCAATGAAGGGGATGGTTGATACCATATAAAAGTGAAAATAAGTGAAACTTATACCATATATATATTATTTATAGCTGAGGAGCTGCCTAATCATTAGTGACAAGTATCTACCGTTTATACCATTGAAAAAAAACATATAAACAAATATAAAAGTGAAAATGGTGATGACCTGGTTCATTAGTGGGCATATATATATATATAATTATACAATTATATATATATATATATATGAACATAGTGATGACTTGGAGATGGTAAAAAAATAGTGGGATGTAAACGGGAACATCATAGGGATTAATCAACAACTAATAGGGATGTGAGCAGATTTCTAATGGGATTTAAGATGATGCTATATGAGTTAAATATCACCATTTTGATGAGTTATATATAACCATTTTTATGAATTAGTATTTCTAGCATCCAGTTTACATCCCAACCATATAAACCATCATTCAATGGGTATGTAATCGGGAATATCAGGGGAATGCGTATTGAGGTTTCTCAAAAGCGGGTATCAAAAAAAAGTCACCATGCCGGACCATGGCACCGTACTAAGTCATGGTCCTTCATGACTAAAAATGATCTGGGGGGGGTACCCCTTATTTTCTTATGGGGTAGGCCGGCCGGTACGGACGATCCTCACTATGCCGGAAGCCAGCTTGATGATCCACAGTGGTTACCCTCCGCAAATCATGTAAGATGGCGCTGGGAAGTCCCCTACAGATGAGAGATTGAATGGGAAATTGATCTGGCATGTTTGCTTACCAGGCTTGATTATCAAGTCTAAGTGGTTTCAACCAATCCCGCGTTGTCAACTGGGATCATCATGCCATGTGACCATGGCTGCCAGCAAGAAATTTTGGGCACGTCACGGCCATTGGCATAGACAATCTGCAAACATTGGATTCTCAACAGCTTAAGAACACCCTTCCCCCAACAAAACTGAGTTATGATAGTTCTATGCATAGTTTTTCTTTTGAATTTGGGGCTCTATACAAGGTGTAACCCCACCAGTCATGAGTTGGGTAGAAATACCGTTAACTATAACATACGATAGTTTTCTATCGTCTAAGTAATTTCTTTCTACTACGATGCGTCTTGTGATCTCGGGTCCTGCAACAGTGTGAGACGCTTGGGCGCCCGGCTTTAATTACTATCCCATAAACCCCATAAACCCTAGTTAGCCAAGTTGTAAGCCAAGTTATAAATCAGGCTTTATGATGTTTATATATTTTTTATATATGTTTATGGTGGGATATCATAATATATATATAATATAATATATATATATATAATATATATAATATATATATAATAAGCGTTTCTTTTAATACACCAACCGACATCCCAGGAGCCTGGGCCCTACCTCACCCCAAACCGTTTGGCCGGCCTCCGAGGACGAGCCCGGCTGGATTTCGGAACAGACCAACTGCTCCTTGGGCGCGAAGCCGAAGGGGTTCTTGTTCACCTGGCGCGGCAACGGTGGGATGGACACAGGTTGGACATGGGGAAAATGGGGGAAAATATGGGATGGACATCAGGTGTTTAGTAATACAAGTTTGTGAAATCAAAAAAAATATCAAAAACATGTTTGTGAAATCAAAAGTTGAAATGAATCGAGATGACACAATAAAACAATAACATGTAAATGCAGTTTATGTATGAAAGGGAAAGCATTATTTCCAGATCTTTCCAGATTGTTTAATAAACTACTTTATTCATGCATCTTTTTGTTTGATTCAGAAACAGGCTAGAAGTGGTGGGGTTTTCTTGTGGATGTCAGAACGGTCAAAGAATCACGCATGCACGGGCAAGATGCACTAGAATTATGTGTCATTTTGAACGCGTTCGATCAAACTGTTCAATATTGCATTGTTTGACGGTTCAAACATGATTTTCTTTACTTTGCTTTTGCTTCGCACATATCCATTATAGTATCAAGGCTCCAGCAACTGGACGCAACTCAGTAACTGACCCCTTCACACCGTAGAATAATGTAGAATCTCTTGGGCCACGTCCCAACAACTCACGGGGCAAATAGTCAGAAAACAAATGCACCTACACAACTCTCCAACACTAGGTATGAATAGTATGAATTATGACCCAAAATGATCCGCACAACTCATGAACTGCATCACAAAATTAAGTTTATCTCCAAATGCTTAACAACAACAGACTTAATTTACTCCATCATCATTTTAGTTCACGTGACCAGCTGGCCCTACCTGGATGGCGAAACCACTCAGAGGTCCGGAGCTGTGGTTGCTAAAAGTCATCATCAGGGTGGGCGTGCCTGTTGAAGCCGCCCGCGGCTTGGATGGCTTGGATGGCTTGGGGGATCCCATCAAAACTGATGAGAACAAAGCGATTCACCTACCACCAAGGTTTGTCATTCAGATCTATCCTTTCAGGAAAGGCTGGCAATGCAAAATCCCCAATTGTAGATGATCTTTTTTCACCTCCAGGAAGATAGAAATGATAGAAACGTAAAGTCCTACTACAAGAGTGACCAGTTCCTTTTATATCATCCGGGCTGTTGTTATCTTCCAATCCATTGGATTTTCCCATGGCTGCCACGCTGGTCCGTGCCTCGCTGTCTGGCAAAAGCCGCTGACACTGCGAAGCCCTGCTGCCCGTGTTGCCCCGCTTGCCTTGGCAGAAATTCATATATAATATATGTGGATATATGTGGATATATAAATATATAGGACATTTATAAACTGCAATATATCTACATATATGAAATCCCTAGTCTTTGCTGGTGATATCCTTCATTTGTAGTCATTTTTCTCAGACCCACGCCCCATTTTCAAGTGGAACCTTCCCCCATTTTCAAGTGGAACCTTCTATCCTTGTTTCAAATGACACATTTGGGTGTGTTTGAACATGGGGGTTAATTACCCCTTATATATAGCAATTGGCAATTGCCATTGGCAAAAATCATATTTTTTACATTTTTTACATGTTGCCATAAACATCTCAATAAACAATAGTTCAATAGGCAATTGTCATAAAAGGGCCGTGTCATTGGCAATTGGCAATCGTCATTGGGACTAGTCGGAGCATTTGGGGTTCCATAGATCCGTTGCCAGTTGCCAGATCTCTAACTGCTCACAGGAGACACGCTGCTGACCAGTAGTTTGGGAAAGTGTAAAAAACATTATAATATATATATATATAATTAGATCAGGCTTTGTTAGGCTCCGTTGTTGAATAATAATATATATATATATATATGTAAGTGTTGTATATACAGTGAATGTCTAAGCTGACTGGAAACCATATAATATGTTGAACCCCTTCATTTGTTGGCGAATATCTCTATTGTTTGGAAGATAAAGGAATAGGACCCATTTTCTTTACGTGTTTCAACCATCAGCTTTTTTTTTTTCTGATCCAAGCCCGATTCATTGCTGGTGGACCATTGTATTTTTTGTTGGCTCCACAACTTGGTGCTTCATCCTACTTAGTCTGTGTTTTTTTTTACCCCAGGTGTAAGTGGATTAACCCTACTTATCCACCTGAATTCACTGCGGTTATAACCTACTTAGTGGGGTGAGCCACCAAGTATGTTCAACACAACTATGGAAAATCACCATGTGTTTCTATGTTTAAAAAAAAAAAAAAAAACATTTCTATGGCCATGCTCAGTAGCAAACTGTTACTTTACAAGAGGGTAACCCATGATATCACTAATCATCATTGATACTGTAATCATGATTCACCACTATCATTGATTATCACTGTATATTATCCCTATTGGTCTACTATCATTCATTACACCACTATCATTGATTAAACATATGGACAATCACAATTTGTTTATCTGTACATTGTACATCAACTATAATCAACTATAAATGGGCCATTTTCAATAGCAAAGTGTGACATGACCAGAAGGTACCCTCTGGTAACCTAACATAACTATGGAAAATCACCATGTTTAATGGGAAAGCTCACTATGTCTATGGCCATTTTCAAGTTCGCAAACTGTTAGATTACCTGCAGAGGGTAATACCTCCATTTTCCTATGGTTTTCCTATGGTTTTCTATGGTTTTCCCATTAAAACCTCCATTTTCCTATGGTTTTCCTATGGTTTTCCCATGAAAACCTCCATTTTCCGGGAAAATGACCAGCTCAACTGCCATGGCACGTGGACGGCAGCACCTGCACCTTTTGCACCGAGGACACCGAAACACCACCGCGCTGCGAGGGCGAGTCGTCGCCCACGCCACCCAGGTCCAGTAAGTCCAGGCCGCCGCCTGGCTTTGAGAAGCCAGCTGCAAGGGGTTTTAACGGGACTTTAGTGGGATTTTTATGGTATTTTTATGGGATTTTTATGTGATTTTTATGGGATTTTTATGGGATTTTTATGGGATTTTTATGGGATTTTGATGGGATTTTATAGAATTTTATGGGATTTTTATGGGATTTTATGGGATTTTTATGGGATTTTTACGAGATTTTATGGGATTTTTATGGGATTTTATGGGATATTTATGGGATTTTTATGGGATTTTTATGGGATATTTATGTGATTTTTATGGGATTTTTATGGGATTTTTATGAGATTTTTATGGGATTTTTATGGGATTTTTATGGGATTTTTATGGGATTTTTATGGGATTTTTATGGGATTTTTATGGGATTTTATGGGATTTTATGGGATTTTTATGGGATTTTATGGGATTTTTATGGGATTTTATGGGATTTTTATGGGATTTTTATGGGATTTTTATGGGATTTTTATGGGTTTTTTATGGGATTTTTATGGGATTTTAATGGGATTTTAATGGGATTTTAATGGGATTTTATAGAATTTTATGGGATTTTTATGGGATTTTTATGGGATTTTTATGGGATTTTAATGGGATTTTATAGAATTTTATGGGATTTTTATGAGATTTTTATGGGATATTTATGGGATTTTATGGGATTTTATGGGATTTTTATGGGATTTTTATGGGATTTTATGTGATTTTTATGTGATTTTTATGAGATTTTATGGGATTTTTATGGGATTTTATGGGATTTTTATGGGATTTTTATGGGATTTTTATGGTATTTTTATGGTATTTTTATGGTATTTTTATGGGATTTTTATGTTATTTTTATGGGATTTTTATGGGATTTTATGGTATTTTTATGGGATTTTTATGAGATTTTATGGGATTTTTATGAGATTTTTATGAGATTGTATGGGATTTTTATGAGATTTTATGGGATTTTTATGAGTTTTTATGGGACTTCAATGAGATTTTATAGGACTTCAATGGGATTTTATGGGAATGAATAATGGGATTGAATGATGAGATTAGTGGGAAATAATGAATCTATGAAACTACATTTTATGGCCCTTAACACTTATAATTGGCATAACCCCCCATATCATTGAAGTGGTATGTAACCTTAGTTGCAAGAGTTATAATCATTTATAACTCTTAAGAGCGATAACTGTTGGGGATCAACCAGCAAGTTTTGTGATTGCTGGTTTGATTGGAGATATGCAATATATCTATGTAGTTTCAAACATGTTCAACTGGTCAAAATTAAATTGTAAGGAATGATCATATCAAAAGATATCAAAAGATATCAACAGTATCTCACATCCCCCAACTCACATAGATCCCTCTTTTTAAGCTGAAAACTGTCCTCTGTCTTCCAGTCCCAAACTCATGGCAGGGTCGATGTGTTACTTGCATACAGTATTGTATAGTAGTATATCGTGTGTTAGTTACAGCTGAATTTTTGCTAGCCAAATGTCCTACTTGTGAAATACGAATGCCATGTTGCAGATTCAATCCCGTTGTTGTTGCTCAATCTTCAATCTCCATCTATTGTTCCGTAATAAATAAAGAACAACTCGTGTTGCCCGCTTATTCAGTTCCATGGTTCCAGTCACCACCAACCAGTGATTATTAACCATCATTAACCATCATTATTAACCATGGTTCCGAACCACCAACCACTAATCCATGACATGCCCATGAAACCACCATTGAACCGTTAAATCCCCATGGAAAACCACCGGTCACATCCCCATCGCTGATGTTGAGCTGCTGGTTCCATTGCTTGCACCAGGACCACCTGAGGACACTGAAAAAACGGGGAGGTCCAGTTTGCAATAGAGAGAGAGAGAGAATGTCACACATATAATATGTATATATATACATGAATTATTATATGTCATATACTAATATGTAATATACATATATATATATATAATATGTATAATTGTATATAAATGTATGCATATATGTATAACGTACTGTATAATACATGTAATATACAGATACCATCCCAATATCATCTCAGCAAATATTATTCCAATCTGATCTGAATTGGCCCATGAAACATGTTTTTTTTTCTTAGATAAGAAACTTCATCACACAAAAACATATCAGGATATAGTTTGTTATATAATCCCATTGTATAACCCCATAAAATGGTTGCTCTCATTCCCGTTTTTTCTCGTTAATTCCCAGTGATGATGGAACATCTTAACATTTGATCGTTTAACCAGGGGGGTAGATCATGATTCCTCTTCACAGACTTTATCAATCCACGGTGGACATTATATCCAAATACTTAGTCCATTTTAAACTCCAAAGGAATTCCCTATATTCACCCGATTAATTCGGATCAAATCCCAATGAGATGTTTGAAGCCTGCTTTTCCCCACTACAATCTCCATTATCCCAGAAATCATATCTCATTCAACCGCCATTTCTGTCATGGACAACCCAGCATTAAACCATATTGATCCCCTAGTAAATTATCTATCAAGTCCCAATCTTTACTAAGGAGGTCAATTTCCATTCATTAGATCATCCCATACTATTCCCATAAACCACCATCAAACCGCACAATCCCCGGTTTCTGACATAGACGTTCACTAGCTTCACCCTAAAACCATCAAAAAAACGAAAAATCACCAGTTGAGCAACACAGGGGGTTCCAAAATTAGTGACATTTCATGATATGTTCCCTTGATACCATGGATAGTTACTTGGTTATCACCATGGATAGGATAAACCTATCACTTCAAAGATATTTCCCTTGATACCATGGATAGTTAGTCTAACTTCCCCCATAAACCACCAAAAACTTGTTGGTGGTTTCAACCTACGCCCCTGAAAAATGATGGACTTCGTCAGTTGGGATGATGACATTCCCAATATATGAATAAAATTCCATGGTTCCAAACCACCAACCAGTCAATGAAATGACCATTAAACCATTGACCCTTTAAATCCCAATGGAAAGTCATTTAAAATTCCCATGGTTCCAGTCACCACCAATCCGATATATTGTTATTCCAATTATTAACCATAGATTAACCATAGATTCACCATAGATTCACCATAGATTCACCAGGAAAATTCCATGGTTCCAGTCACCACCAGGCAGCACTTTATCCCCACGGAAATCTCCAGATCCCAGGCACGTTCCAACTCCTCCTGCACTTCCCGGCGTCGATCCGCCGCGCGGTTGCCATCGTCCTCCTCGTCGTCCTCTGCGCCACGCTCTTGACCCGAGGAGGTCAGGGTCAAACGCGTCACCTCGGAATGGGTAGAACGGTAGAACTCACAAAGAATGGAGATTTATACAATGTGAGCCCCCCCCAGTTATAAGTTGGTTTAGATTCGACCCAGTAACTATAGTTATAAGTACCATAAACCATAGTTGTTGGAGTTATGTTCACCAACTTAGATATCTTGGGGGCCTCACATTGATAGGGATTTCTATTGGTGATTTTTATAGGGATTTGTATGGTGATTGTTCTGAGGATTTGGTGATTGTTCTGGGAAATTTCTGAGGATTTCATGAACATTTCGCCATGAAGTACAAGGTGAGGCCCCCAAAAACCATAGGCTGAGCTAACCCTCACCTTGTAAGGGCCAGCTCTCTTCGGAAAAGTCATCTAGACATGAGGATATGCTATGGGATATAATTACGTATATTATAACCAACAATTCTGGAGATATGATGGGATAAGATGATAGTATAGCTAGTTGGTTATCACCTAGAAAAAATGATATGCCAGCTATGATAGTATACATGATAACCAACAATTTTGTGGAGATATAATGCAATAAAACCAGCCATATGGCATCTTTAAAGAAATAACATGTCGATTTGATGGGCATTCTATGGACACTTATTGCTTTGGTGGTTTAATAGGGATTAACTGTATACGTAGTGAAAAAAAAGGACAATTACATGGATTTCATGGAGTTTTTATGTATGTTTTAAGGGTTTTTTTTGATGCCGGGATTCCATAGGTTAACGGTGGCGGAAAATGGCCATATGAAAATAGTATTAGTGTTGGTCTTAACTGAAAATTCATCAATTTTGGGCTATTTCATGGGGATTGACCAACCTTAGTCAGTATACGCAATGAGATATAATGATATATAATGAAATAACATGAAGTAACTATACACGTATCATGTATGCATCCATGGTAGCAAACATCAAGAGCGAATGGCTGCATGCCCGGAATCTGAAAATAACGTTCTCAATTTACCAATGAAGTATAGTATTTCACCCAAAGTCTTGAGTTGCTTTCTGGTACTTTTACTTCGTCGTTTGGGTACTTCAAGACATAAACACGTACATCTGAATTGCAAAATCCGTTGCAATATATTGGCACAATTCCTACTCCAACGACCCTTTTCAATGACTCAAAGTCAGCGCGCTCAACTAGGTCCATGTTCAACCCCGGCCCCAAACCAAGGATTTAAATCTTGACGTTCTAATTTCAAATTAATTTGTTTAGTAAGTTTAGGATTCCCCAAGGATTTCACATTTTTTTCAAACAGCTCAACGGTGGGAAAACATGCCGCGGAGCACGGCGATTTTCTGCAGTCGTGTCACAAACTCGTCAGCGTACTTGTGATACACCGAACCTGCCAACCGATGCCAGGGGTGTGCAGCTGGGATGAACAACATGGTATGACCGTGGGATTTTTAACCCAAGTATGGGACATAAGGTAATATCTACTTATATGTTATGGCTATGGTTCTTAATTCAATGACAATTGATCTGAGTTTAAGGGAAGATTGAAACCATAACCCCCATATTTTATGGGAAATACCGTTGTTTCCGATTGAGATGTTCTGTTAAACCAATTATTAGGTTAGTATTCCAGAAATTGCGAAACATCATCGTGGAAAAACATGGTTTGTACGTTTTCGTATGTGTTGTTGATGTTTATTCTTGGGTTTAGAATTTTGGTTTGATTATACAGCTACCAACTTGGACTCGGTCAATGGCATGCCGGGTACAAGGTGAAATCTAATCTTGGGGAATCATCCAGTAAAGACAAAAACTATATGGAAATTCATGCTTTTCCCAGAAACGACAAGCACATGAATCAATGGTGGATGTCAATAGCTATGTAAATTTTGATCCAGACGATGGAATCGATGGTATTCCCATGACATATCCCGATGGTTCGCCACCATTTTTCTCGGCTCATCACAGCCAAGGAACTCATCAAAGACAGCTCGGTGGACAGCTTCTCCAAGAGATTCCTAAAAAGATCTGGGGGGGTTCCATCAATGGGGGCATGCAGATCTAGCTGGATGCTATATATATATATATATATACATATATATATATATACATATATATATATATATATATATGGTGGATAATCCGAAGGATGATGAACAGGGGTGCCATAGATTGGTATGATTCAGATACACGTTGAAAAATGTTGAGACCACCAGCTGCAGTCCATCTCGTCCATTAGATCTTTTGTTAAACCGTAATCCAACATGCCTTGCTGGAAAAACTGACCGAGCTGTTGGCCTGCCCAAAGACCTACAAATGAATATGAACTTGACATGGCAGTTAACATTACGTCCAGACAATTCGATGCGTCTGGATTCCAAGCTTTCATCTAGAAAATATGATTATATCTTGTTTGATCCAAGCTTACATAACAGAATATCAAACTGAAATATTCGGTTACATATCTCATATTGTCTCATGATATGGGACACACACAGCCACACTTTTTTTTATCATTTGATCAATATTTATCGTATATCCCATTATATCCCATAAGATGTTATTTCCATATTGTTGATTATAGTCTATACCCTCTGGTAAACTAACATAACTATGGAAAAAAACACAATTATTAATGGGAAAACTCACTATAAATGGCAATTTTCAATAGCTATGTTAAATTACCAGAGGGTATATCCATCATTCTACATATGCTTGGTTGTATCCTCCCGTGGCCTTGTGAACCTGGCAAGGGGAAAATCCCATGGAAACTCCACCATTGATGGATGAGGTTCCTATTAATCCCTTCCTCCTAATACTAAACGTCCCCCTAATACTAAAAACAGGCATCCATCTCCAATTTCCGAAAATTTCAGTTTGGCCAATTTGACTTTTAATTGATCCCCTTTAAAAAACAATTTAAAATCAACCTACCATTTGTGGGTTCTCCCCCCTAATACTAAAAACTAGTTCACCCCGGGGTGTTTAGTATTAGGGGGGCCTAGTCCCAATCCCTCACTCCAAGCTGCCTGGCTACTCTAGCAATTAGGGGTAAGCTTCGAACTGCCATTTTTGGCAATATTTTAATCGCGTTATATAAGGAAATTTAATTGATTTTGAGATCGGAAAAAATTGTTTTTATTATTAAGGGTTTTAATTTAGTATTAGGGGTAAGCTTCGAACTGCCATTTTTGGCAATATTTTAATTGCGTTATATAAGGAAATTTAATTGATTTTGAGATCGGAAAAAATAGTTTTTATTATTAAGGGTTTTCATTTAGTATTAGGGGTAAGCTTCGAACTGCCATTTTTGGCAATATTTTAATTGCGTTATATAAGGAAAATTAATTGATTTTGAGATCGGAAAAAATAGTTTTTATTATTAAGGGTTTTCATTTAGTATTAGGGGTAAGTTTCGAACTGGCATTTTTGGCAATATTTTAATTGCGTTATATAAGGAAAATTAATTGATTTCGAGATCGGAAAAATAGTTTTTATTATTAAGGGTTTTAATTTAGTATTAGGGGTAAGCTTCGAACTGCCATTTTTGGCAATATTTGGTTCCCTAATAATAAACACCCCCCTAATACTAAAAACTACCTGCCGTGTTTTGTATTAGGGGGGGGGGGTTTAGTATTAGGAGGAAGGGATTATAAAGCCTCCATTTAGTTTGGGGAAATCCTACATTTATGGATGAACATTCACTATTTATGGATGGTTTCCCATTTACTTTGGTGCTTTTCGAATTTGGGACACCCCAAATTGCTGGCTGAGCGTCTTGTCAATGTATTGCGAATCATCGCGGATGGAAGGCTTGTCTCCCAGCACAACTCCTGCCAGCCACCCTTGTGAACAACGAAATAGTTTGGAAATGGCTGGAACAAATACGGCCGGTAAGGCCCTCTAGATAGCTAAGCTGAGGGCAACTAGGGTCTATGGTGGATACATAATGCGTTTTTTTTGTTTTAACCAACTTACAACAGGGGGGCTCACCTTGTATGGTGTAGGATCCTTCTACCGCCTTTGGAGATGGTTCATAGACTCCAAGATGGTGCGGTGATTTTGCCCATCCCCATGTATGCACCATTATCAAAGAGATGTGTCAAAAGAAAACCTAGAATCTAGAAATTGGACATACACAAAAAAAACTACAGCTAAACGTAAGCGAAATTTGCCAAATGTCTTCCTGGCTTTGATTCCAGGCCATGTAACTACCCTCTGGTAAACTAACATAACTATGGAAAATCACCATTTTCAATGGGGAAATAAACTCTAAATGGTCATTTTCAATAGCTATGTTCAATTACCAGAGGGTATACAGGACCATGTTGATCATGTTGCACCTAGGGGAAATCTACGGCCATGTCGGAGATTTTTTTTCTTCAAGCGGCCTGGGTTTACCAGGAAAAATCATCCCCCCACCATGGCATTTTCAATACGGATAGTGAATAATGGTCATTAACTGGTGGATTTAGGGGTGTTCCAAATTCAAACAACCCCAACTAGTTCCAAAATCAGAACAGTATCTGGTTGGTGGTTTTAGCCATCTTGAAAAAATGATGGAGTTCGTCAATGGGGTTGGGATTATCCATTCATATTATGGAAAAAAATAATGTTCCAGTCACCACCAACCAGGTATCCTTGGATTCCTTGGATTGGCTTAAGGAACCCCCAAAAAATATATTCCCTTTTTGGATTTCCCACTGGGAAATTCGCAAATCATCACGTTGCATCCGTGAGGTTTTTGAGGTTTTTGAGGGCTGCATCGGAATTATCCAAAAAATAGTGCCAAGAACGCATATACAGTATGTATTAAATGTACCAGTAGTACCGCACAAGGCGGTGGCGGAAGTTTCAGAACAGGAAACCTATAGGAGACGTTGGTTGTTGTGAATCAGGGATGGCAGAGCGAAGCCACTGATTGACCGAAAGGTGGTTGGAGTTGTGTTTGCTGGAGTGGTTGCAATGGTTGCAGTGGTCACCTCACCCACAACTGCTGGATGTAGTGTGATGTACTGCAACTGTAGTTGTAGTTGTAGGGTAGTGGAGTTGTAGTTGTGGTGTAATGTAATTAGTGTAGTGTAGTTGCAGTCATATAGTTGTAGTTGTAGTTGCTGTGTAGTTGTAGTTGTTGTGTAGTTGTAGTTGTTGTAGTTGTAGTTGTAGTAGTTGTTGTTGTAGTTGTAGTTGTTGTGTAGTTGTAGTTGTTTAGTGTAGTTGTAGTTGTTGTAGTTGTTGTAGTTGTAGTTGTTGTAGTTGTTGTTGTAGTAGTTGTTGTAGTAGTTGTTGTTGTTGTAGCTGTAGTTGTTGTAGTTGTAGTTCTAGTTGTAGCTGTTGTGTAGTTGTAGTTGTAGTTGTTGTAGTAGTAGTAGTTCTTGTTGTTGTTGTTGTAGTTGTTGTTGTAGTTGTAGCTGTAGTTGTTGTAGTTCTAGTTGTAGTTGTTGTGTAGTTGTAGTTGTAGTTGTTGTAGTTGTAGTTGTAGTTGTAGTTGTTGCTGTTGTTGTTGTTATTGTTGTTGTTGCTGCTGTTGTCGTCGAAGTTAGGGTAGTTAAGTTAGTTACGTTAGTCAAGTTAGTAAAGTTAATCAGTGTCTACTGTTTCGACATCTTAACGCCAAAAAAGGCTCAAAACCATCAGTTTTTTTACACTTTTGACTTCGAAATGTGCTTCGCGCCACAACGGCGTGCACTTTTTCGACATCTCAACTTCCAAAAGTGGGCCGAGCATGTGGTGTTTTGTACATTTTGACTTCGAAATGTGCTTCGCGCCACAACGGCGTGCACTTTTTCAACATCTCAACTTACAAAAGTGGTCCGAACCTGGTGTGTTTTGTACATTTTGACTTCGAAATGTGCTTCGTGCCACAACGGCGTGCAATCCCCCCCCCTTTAGAAATATTTCACTTTCGGGGGGGGTTACCCCCCCCCACACACCTAGAAATATTTCAGCTAAAAATTTCTGGTTTATAATGGTCTCTCCAGGGCCTGGTTGAATTCAAGGCTGAACGTCAAGCTCTGAAACATGTTTGGCAAGTTCACTCTCTTATTTATTTTCTTGGAAACTGGCAGTTACCATTTACATCCATTTACCTAATTGTGTGGCTTGCGCGTCGGCCCTACCCGCGTAAGGACTAAAAAGGTGATTTTTTTAGGGGGGACCCTGCTAGAACTGTAAAATACCATGGTTTTGCAACTACCCCCCCTCAAAAATTTCACCCTTGTATTTCGGGGTAGGAAACATAAAGGGGCTCCTCGAGCATTGGCAATGGATTTTTTTTAGGGGGGGACCCTGCTAGAACTGTAAAATACCATGGTTTTGCAACTACCCCCCCTCAAAAATTTCACCGTTGCATTTTTCTATGTGTAATTATGTGTATAATATATATATATATATATATATGAATGTATGAAAGTATGAATGTATGAATATATGTATGTACGTTATAAAAGGGTGTGCCATACCATCTCTGGGCTAAAAATGTTGCATCCGGAGGACACCCCCCCACATCTTTTGGAAGCCCAAAAAACATGTGGGGGGGGGTATATTTCATGTGGTCAGGTGAAATATTTCTCAGAAATTTCTTGCCTTACCCCCCCCCAAATATTCCAGGGTTAAAGGGGGGGGGATGGCGTGCACTTTTTCGACATCTCAACTTCCAAAAGTGGTCCGAGACCGCTAGTTTTTAACACTTTTGACTTCGAAATGTGCTTCGCGCCACAACGGCGTGCACTTTTTCGACATCTCAACTTCCAAAAGTGGTCCGACGCTGGTGTGTTTTGTACATTTTGACTTCGAAATGTGCTTCGCGCCACAACGGCGTGCACTTTTTCGACATCGCAACTTCCAAAAGTGGTCCGACCATGGTGTGTTTTGTACATTTTGACTTCAAAATGTGCTTCGCGCCACAACGGCGTGCAAATTTTCATCTCTCATCTGGCCAGCTGGCTCCGCACCCGCCGCTTTAGCGAGCCTACTTTTCGACTCTCCGGAGCCACAAATCATTGGAAAAAACACAGTGTTTCGCGACTTTCCTACCTTTTCGCGCATCTGCATCTTCTTTCTTCTGACTCTTTCTCTTCTGATCTTCTCTCTTCTGATCTTTTCTCTTCTGACTCTTCCCACCTCTGCTTTTCAACTGTCCATATTGTCGGAAGTTTCACTTCTAAACTTCCTTCGATTAATCAATACTATACAATTATATATATATATATAATATATATAATTACATACATCAAACAAAAGATCTCAGATCTGCGTTGTGTCTCAACCTTCGCTTTACAAACAAACAAGGCAGGTTTGGCAGCACCTGCAGGCCCCCACGAACCAGGCATTCGCCAAGAGACTCTTTGTAGCCTCTGGATTCGTGGCCAGCAAGCGCCAGTAGATGTATCCTGCATCATTGGCTGTCTGTCAACCGAGTCGCCAAAATCGGCTTCATCATCCCAGCTGGATCTGAACAGAATTCACGAATTGTTGGACACATATCCTGCTGATATGTTTTGATAGGATGAGTGATGACGAGTAGATTGAACTACCCCAACATGTCAGAATGAATGAATCTAACAGATTTAGATGGACTGCTTTGTCTGTGAAGACTCGCTCTTCTTCGCTTCCATCCGGAAGAGCATCCAAAAAAATCACGGGCCCAAGATGTGGCATTACATAAACACATGTTTAATATCCGTGAAAAAATCTGGGATACCACCCCCCTTTTTAAAAAGGGTGGTCTACCTCCATTTGTCGTTATCCAAGCCCATCCCCCTGCTCTAATTCCAGCCCCATGGTTTCATGATGCCAGTCATATGTGGATGAAACCTCCCACAACCATCCCAGCCATGATGGTTTTCCAAGTGAATATAATATATGGATATATATATATATGGATATATATTAATATATATATATATATATGGGGGGTTCTCAACATGATGAAAATCCCCAAGTCACCATGTCGGTTTCACTCCTAAAATAGCCTACCTTGGGATGATTTGGGGGTAGCCTATAACCAGGTCCTCGGTCGCGCAAGTCGTGGTTGGTGGACTCTTCGGTGGCACATTGAAGCACTTTGGAGACCATGTCCTGGCCCAGGAGACCCACAGTTGTGGCCCGAAATACCATGCAGTTATAATAGTTATATATAAATAGCTATAGAAAACTCCATTTATAGAATGTATAATCCCATTTATAACCAGTTATAACTAATAAATGGCCATAACTACATCTTCGACCCGTGTAGAATCCATGGCTCTGTGAGTTGAAAGCCTGAAAAACCGTTAAATGATTGTTTCTGAAGTCCTGTGCCAATGATGGCTAAAAACTGGAACAAGCCTGCGGATACCTTAAGGCCTCAATGATGGGCCCTCTTTGTTTCAAAGCGGCGTAGAATTTTGTGAACATGGATTGCTGGTGGGCTAGTTTACACAAAGCCCAAATCAATTTGAAACCAATCAAGTATGTATATTATCGGAATTGCCCATGATGTTCGGTCAGTAGATACCAATTTGTAGAAAGAAACAAGTTCAAACAAACAATACCCGTTTTTGAAGTCCTTCTTCAATGCTCATTGACTGTTTCCATATTTATAAAAACCTCAATGGCTCGCCAGTTTTTGGAGAACCCGAGAGCAATTCCCAGAACATTCCAGTGAAGTCGTTGATTTTTTTCCAGAAAACATTTATGTTCAAATTCAGGATGTGATAAGTATATAGAGAAACAAATCCTGGTTTCTACATAGTTGTCCCGTGAAAAAGCCCCCATTTATATCCATGTATGATCATGTAGTTGGAACGGAACATCATTCTGAAAAAAAAAATCTGGAGGAAAATATGGTTTGTTCAAGCTGTTTTGCCATCATTTTTTGTTCGGGTTGTTTTTGTTCAGCCACAAAAATGATGACCGATGGTAGTACCATTGGACCATGCTCTCCTGTGTGCTGGAAGGCTTCTGCAAGAAAAGTTTCACCTGGAACATGGGGTTCCAACAGATCGCAGAACCAGCTGCGGTTTTCTTGGGGATTTTCCATGGGGTTTTTGTCACATAGCTTGAGTGGGGGATATTCCATGGGAAAATCGACTCGAGATTTTTCATGGGAATAGCTATACAATGCTTTTTGAGCGGGATAATCCACGATCAATGGAGATATGATGGGATCTTAAATGATTTGCCATCCGGTGATTTAAGCTGCTACATATTGGAACGATGGGGGAAACTTGGATTTTTAATGGAGATACGATACAAGGGGAAAAACATCTATAAATTGAGATTTAATGAGATTTAAATGATTTAATCGGAGAAATAAATATCATCTGATTATTAGCTATATGTTCAAGCTCTAGTATAGATGGCCTATTGAAATATACGTTTTATAATGATTTTCCTAAATTACTAGAGGGTAGATAGCAAGTCGAAACGATTTAACAATACTTCACCGCTATCTAAACAGATGTTTCATGCTTTACTATTCTATCTTTTAGGGGTTACCAGCATGTGTATATGCAGTATAGCCTAAAACGATTGGGGAATCCAACGCATTTCAGAGTTCAGTCGGAATCTACGAAAATCAGGCAGGTACAGGTACTCCGATATACCTTGCAGTCATGCTAATCTACACCTGGCAGTTATGGCCTTTATCGGTTCTACATGGGATTATATAACTCCTACAACTGAGGTTCTTACATATATGTAATATATATAATATAATATATATATATACATCATTATAATCATCCCATATTTCTAACTGTATATCGGGCTATAACTGGGAGGAAGATGTTCCGCTTCGTTCCGTTGAAGCATCGCTTCGTTCCGAGGGACAATGGCTGTTAGCAACTGCATCTGAACCAACAGAGGCTCATCATGGAAGGTATCCTGGACGATCGTTGGCGCTGGTGCTGGCTAATATGGGATTACATGGTTATACCCTCTGGAAAACATACAAATAGCTATTGAACATGGCCATTGAAATGGGGACTTCATATTAGAATAATATTACTCATAGTAACTAGTTATAATACCCATATGCGAACCATGGTGCTGGAATCTGAATCCCAACATTTACCCCATAAATGACCCAGTTTTGTAGGTAAATATACCAGCACCATGGAGCATATGGGAATGGGGGTACCCAATAGTTATGGATCGTTTATCATGGAAATTCCCAATCTAAAATGGATGGTATACCATGGTATACCCATTTTAGGAAACCTCCAAATATGGAATAGATGGATTATATCATGTCCATGGATGAGCCCTGACATGCCCGAGGGTGCATAACTTGAGGTTTGCCCTTATTGAAAGAACCGATTGGACCAAGTAGAAAGGATGCTTCTACAACTTCAAAAGCAAAAAAAACACCCGACATGAGGATGTAAGGTATGGATGGTTCACCTGAAACGACTCCACATCAACTGATGGGACTTTTTGCTTTATGACATGGGTGTAGACTCTCTAGGCGTACGTGAACTCATATTGGACTCTGGAGCTGTCACCACCCTGGTGTGGAGTGCCCCAGGTCACCACGGTTCCATCCGCCGAAATGGCAGCAAAAGCGCCGATTGTGCCACAAATCTGCTGCACATTCTTGAGCTGATGTTGGACTCTGGAGCTGTCACCACCAAAGCCGGGACCGCCCCAGGTCACCACGGTTCCATCCGCCGAAATGGCAGCAAAAGCCCCGAATGTGCCACAAATCTGCTGCACATTCTTGAGCTGATCTTGGACTCTGGAGCTGTCACCACCCTGGTGTGGATCACCCCAGGTCACGACGCTTCCATCTTCCAAGATTGCAGAAAAAGCACCGTCTGTGGCAAAAATCTGCTGGACATTCTGGAGCTGATGTTGGACTCTGGAGCTGTCACCACCATTGTCTGGATCGCCCCACGTCACTACGGTTCCATCTGCCAAAATGGCAGCAAAAGCGTCGAATGTGGCACAAATCTGCTGAACATTCTTGAGCTGATCTTGGACTCTGGAGCTGTCACCACCCTGGTGTGGATTGCCCCAGGTCACGACGCTTCCATCTTCCAAGATTGCAGCAAAAGCATAGGCTGTGCCACAAATGTGCTGCACATTCTTGAGCTGATCTTGGACTCTGGAGCTGTCACCACCCTGGTGTGGATTGCCCCAGGTCACGACGCTTCCATCTTCCAAGATTGCAGCAAAAGCGTCGAATGTGGCACAAATCTGCTGCACATTCTTGAGCTGATCTTGGACTCTGGAGCTGTCACCACCCTGGTGTGGATTGCCCCAGGTCACGACGCTTCCATCTTCCAAGATTGCAGCAAAAGCATAGGCTGCGCCACAAATGTGCTGGACATTCCTGAGCTGATGTTGGACTCTGGAGCTGTCACCACCCTGGCGTGGATCGCCCCAGGTCACCACGGTTCCATCCGCCGAAATGGCAGCAAAAGCGCCGAATGTGCCACAAATCTGCTTCACATTCTTGAGCTGGTCTTGGACTCTGGAGCTGTCACCACCAAAGCCGGGATCGCCCCATGTGACAATTCTAGGACCTCCAACACACCACAAAGCAAACGCTCTGCTATTTGCATCTATCTTTGGCTGCCGTGCAATAGCAGCAATGCTGTCTCCATCTTGAAGCCCAGAAAGTTGAAGAGATTCTGTTGGATCCAAAAGACGGCCCTCAGCTTCAGCAAGTCTCAGGAAACGTTGCCCCAACAACCGTTGAGCAGCTATCTTCAAGTCAGTAACGTCGCCATGCTGCCAGACGGCAACAGTTTCACACCGTCCACTTGGCAAAGACACTTCAAGTTTGATGGAACGCCACCTGGCAGCTGATGGGCCCTCCATGGCGCTGCAAAGGTGTAGGTGAAAAGATGGATTTTTTGTCGTTTTCCCAGTTGCATGGATCCATCCAATACTGGTTGGTGGTTTCAACCCATCTGAAAAATATTAGTCAATGGGAAGGATTGTCCCATATATTATGGAAATAAAACATGTTTGAAATCACCAACCAGAATATCATCTGAGAAAAATATGAATCCAGCTTAAATGGCGAAACAGCTCTGCAAGCAATGTAAGCAATGCTGCTGACTCTTGGCACATTGGGTGATCAGAATTTGCCGCAATGATGGTTTCAATCACTTCGAGCCGCCATAAACCACCAGAAACTTGGAATGCTAAAGAAATATTAACCCCAAAAAAAAACATAAACATGATTAAACATGATGATGACTACGGGATGGTGTATTGTTGGTTTTACCACATTATTGAGTTTTTGGGGATTATCCTTCCTTGTGGATACTCTTTTGGGCGATTTGAACAATCTTTTTGTCCAGACGTGTCCACATATGTACCATATGTTAGCGGTGGTGTCTTCAACATACTCTACCCAAGACGCACATCATTTTTTTGAGGGACATCATTTGCAGGTTCCATGGAGTCAGGACACCCATCCAACATATCCGAATCCAAATGAATGAACATCTACCCTCTGGTAAACTAACAAAAAGCTATTGAAAATGGCCATTTATAGTGGATTTTCCCATTAAAAATGGTGATTTTCCATAGCTATGTTAAATTACCAGAGGGTAAATACAAAAAAACAAAAGCACATTCAAATCCGAACGAAATCACCCCCATATCGTTTTACGTCAGTATAACCATCCCCATTCATACATGGAAAACAAAAAACAAGCCTCCGAATCATTATTTGATTATGATTTACTATAAACAATCTATGAATGGGGATGACTAAAACTATAATGGCATTTAACAGGATTTAATGGGATGTATTCCCATTGACACATGTCTTTCTTGATATATCTGGGAAATACGCCTTGGTAAATTCTAGTGGTTTGCTGTATTAACTGAGGATCAATAAAATCCTGCACTCGTTGGCCTATGAAATACTGGAAATAATGGAATTATATGGAATTACCCTCTAATTATTTAACATAGCTATGGAAAATGACCCATTTATAGATGATGTACCTATGACAGGGAACTTTTTCCATGGCTATGTTAAATAACCAAAGGGTACATGGAATTATGATGGAATTATGATGGGATAAGCAATCTACCAACTGGTGCCTGCGATGGAATGTCCATCCACAGAAAGTCTGTATGTGTTTTGCCACGTTGACCCTGGAGAGGAAAAAGTTTATGATTCACCCTGAAAATCATCTATAAATGCCAACTATATTTATCATATTTCCCCATCATATTTATATATTCATATTTATCATCTATAAATGCCTCCAACTATAGGAAATATCACCATTCATCATCTATAAATGATGGCATTTCTCAATATCTTTGTCGCACCACGATCCGATCTCCGTGCCGATCTCCGTGCCCAGCTTCCAGGAAGGACTCAAGTAACTCATCGGCATTATCGATGCGTCCCGCCTCGATCGACACAACAAGAACCGTTGGTTTTTTGAAACCCATCGAACTATACTTACTATAGTTGGAACTAGAAATCCTATAGTTGGTGATATAGTTATTATCAATTATACTATTATATTACCATATACAATGCTATATTACTTGTTTAAAATCGGTGATGGAACTAAGCTGGTGATGGAACTATAGTTCGATGGATAGTTCCAACTATAACCAGCTATAGTAAATCAAAAAAAAACTATTAAAATAGGATGTTCTAGGACTATAGTTCAAACTAGAAATCCTATTAAAATCCTATAGTTGGTGATACTTCGAAATAGGATATGATCGCACAAACATCCCAGTCACAAACCTACTTAGCTATCGACTATCGGGCGAGAATAATGAACATCATCAGGTTCAATTGTTGGACATAATGAAACTATATGAAACTAATGTATGGGTATGGATCAATACCTATTAACACCATTTTTATTGGGATGAACATCCATTTACCAGCTATTTTGATGTTCACCAGGGGTACAAGGTTTTGACACACTGCCATATTTGCATGCGGATGTTCGTGGAAAGAATGATATATTGAATAATATTGATATGTTTTGTCTTTAATTATGGGATATAATCTGGTTGGTGGTTTCAATCCCTCTGAAAAATATGAGTTCGTCAGTTGGGATGATGACATTCCCAATATGATGGGAAAAATGAAATTCATGTTCCAAACCGCCAACCAGTTACCCTCTGGTAATTTAACATAGCTATTGAAAATGGTGATTTATAGTGGATGTTCCCATTAAAAATGGTGATTTTCCATAGTTATGTTAGTTTACCAGAGGGTATGGTTAGTTGTAACAATGATACTAACCACCACAAGTTGGGAGGGGCCCTACAACCAGCTGGAGATATCTTTGCCAGATCCAGAGGGATGATACAGCCGAATAGAATAGCCCAAAATCATGGAGCTTTCTACTGGGAAAATGATCGAACGACTTAAAAGGGGATTTCATGGGATTATAATGGGATATAGCCGTATAGCCTCCGGTTATTTGTTACATAGCTATGGCAAGTTGTATTTTTTGTTGGATTATTTATGATGCGTTTTTTTTTACCTTGTAAACATGGTGATGTTCCAAAGCTACGTGAAAAATAATCAGAGGCTAATTAGAGACATCATTTCTTTTTCTGCAGATGAAACGTTGAATTTGGGTAAATTTTAAAGTGTCAGGGAAACTGCATAGGAATCAATATGGATGTACCCATGACCAATTATATATATATATATGTAGTGTGTGTATATATAGTATATGTTGTATATAGTGTATGTATATTATAGTATATGTAAATATGTATATATATATAGAGTATGATTATCATTATTAGTTATTATTACTTATTACTCTATATATATATATGTATATATATATATTAATTTATCTAGTTATGTGTGTGTATTGATTAATTCACCCATGTTTCTAAGTACTTGGAGAGTCTAGGCATGCAGCTCTAAGTCGACGACAAGGAATCTCTTAGATTCTGATTCTCTACATCCAGTAGAGCCCCCAAACAAGAGCAAAAATGGTGATTTAACCAAGAACAAATGGGATTTAATCTAGAAACATGGTGACTTATAGTCACTTGATCTATAATAGGTAAGTCGGTGAACATAACTCCGACAACTATAATCTATGGCAAGTATAACTAAAGTGAATTGGGTTTCATAGTTAGTTGGGGGCCGCCTTGTAGTAAAAATCACAATCATGATGGCAAAAGATGAAGTTGTACTATTCACTGCCCAACTTACCAGCCGATGGGTTTACTCACTTCTGTCAGCTATCTCACCATTTTTCTTAGCGCTTGAATCCTTAAATCTGTTGGTAAATACCCCACTTAGATAGTCTATCACACCATCCATATAAATCAGCAATATTGATAATATCTATGACTTAAATAATCTATAACTATGGGGATATTATCTAAGTGACAATATTATCTATATAAGTGAAATTATAATCTATGGGGGGTGAACTGGCTTGTGAAATCTATTCTCCCAGTGGTTTGTTTTCTTGGTGATACGAGTTACACATGGGTTACAGCATGTTATACGCAAGGTTTACCATTTACACATCTATAAGTTATGAACATATATGGATATGTACTAATATGGATAATTCCCCAGTTTCCATAAGTTATCCCACTGTTTCATCTTCATCAATCAACAAATATCCTTAAGAATCATAGCCATCTGCTTATTAAAAACATAGCCATGGAACATCCCCAAAAATAAATGGAGGTTTCATGGGCCATGGCTTCACCATGGCAAACTGTTAGTCTGTCATAACCAGATGCCATGGCTTCAACCAATCAATGGATTGAATTGACAATTTTAACCGGAAAACCCCAAATTTTGATGGGAAAATCTCTATGGTTTCCTGTAAAATTTCCCTTAAACCAATCCATTGCACCAAAAGAAACCTTAAGGCAGCCTTTTCTGTTCCCCGCATGCCACCAGATTTTCCACCACATCTGTGACATCCAAGTGGCGTATTCTCCTAGGATCCAAATCATGGAGGCTTTGGCTTCGGGTTCGTCCAAGGCTTCCATGGATTCGCACAAGGCGCTCAGCACCTGCTCGTATCTGGAAGGATACCTGGGTAGCCACGGGGAGAGCGTGAAGTCCGGAGGCTCCGGTGGTTCCAAAAAAGGGCGGGATGTGGATTTAAGATGGAGAATAAGATGGATAAACGTATATAAATGGTGATGTTTCATGGATTTTAAACTGGATTGACATGGATTTCATATGATCTTTCATGGAATCTAGATCCCTATACGAAAACCAGCTGATTCTGAGGTCCTCCAGCCGTGGATCCGAGGGGACAAGCTGTTTAAATTTTCGGTACCACCGTTAAAATGGGGAAAAACTGTTGAGCCAATGCCAGATAGATATACATTGCAAACCAAATCCATGAAAATTCTATTGTTATATCAGTTATATCGAGAAGATCAAGAGAAGCGCTTTCGGCGGAAGACCTTTGACCAAACAAGGTGCGATCCGACACACTGCTATTGGGGTTATATGTTACAAGCTCTTAATGTCTTATATAATGTGACCCAAAGATAAATAGATTCCACTTTGCAACAAGCTTTCTGGGGAGGGCTTATTGTTGGGAATGGATTACTCCGATGAGTATCCAGATCCAAAAAACAAGGAATTTTATGGGGTAGACTTCAGATTTCCGGCAAATATCAATAGCAAGGTACTTTCGGAAAATGTCCTTCACGACAACGCAAGACTCCTCGCACTGTGAACATCCACTCTGTATAGCTGCAAAGCTGCTTAGCTTGTTCACTATGAAAAGAGCTACTCAACTTACTCAGTGTCCAGTTTCCATGTTGCGGAACTGTTGCTTAACTCAGCCACCAACAAATGAACTCTTCAAACAACACAGTATCAAGTCCAAGTCGAAGAGTTGGAGTGACCATTAGCTGGGATGCTCGAATTGAACTCATGTATTCCCAGAAAAAATCCACGCATCCCAACTGCAGCTGCACCACAGAGTGAAAAACGAACTCTGATTTTTGTAAGGTATAAGGGGTCTTACTTACTTATATAAGTATATAAATGTGTATTTATATATATATACATACTAGAAAACCATTATTACCCTTAAAATCATCTGCAATATTTTCAGACAAACCTATCAGCATCGACTGTATCTAAAATTAAAACGCCAAAACCGCTGGCGCCCTGGAAATAATTGAAACAACTATCTATGATACCATTTTCTAAATAGTGTATAATATGTATATATATATATATATATGTTGTCACTATAAATATATTGTTTCGTAAAAATGTATCCATATATACATATACACTATTATACATGTAGAATCAGGTTGATCCCAGTTGTTCCTAAGTCCTAGTTCAACCAAAAAACAAAACTGGAAAACTATATATATATATATACATATTATATAACATAGAAATATAGATGCATAGACCACAACATCAACAAACATACATATTTTGACCCTTCCAAGTAGCTAGAACAGATAGGCAAAGTAAACACAAGTAAATACAATTATGGGTATAATCAACATCTGAACTATATACATTTATATCATTTATGATAATGGCTATATCACCAAACCATCACCAACATAGTCCTTCAAACAACAATAACTTATGGGTACATTAATGACCAAAATAGCGGCTTTAGGGCACTCAACTATATGAACATGTATGATAATTATGGCATTAAACTATTATATATATATATATACATATGAGTTTGATATATATATATATATATGACAGTGATCCATGGGTGTATTACCAACACAAAATTCCTTTTTTGGGTGGCTTTTCAAGGCACTCATCTCTGGTCCTGCACCACATAGTTCCATCACCTACAGGAACTACATATACTATATCCATTTATATCATCATTGATGAATATCTGTGATAATGATTGATCATGGGTATATTATGGTATATTCATGACCAACACAACATTCAGGGCTTTTCGGGGCTTTTAGGGCAGCACCTTTTGGTCATCGGTTCTCTGGTCCTGCACCACATAGTTCAATAAACTACATGAACTACATATACTATATCCATTGATTTATACTATATCCATTTATATAATCATTGATTATATATGTACCTTTCGGTCATCGGTCCTGCACCACATAGTTCACCTTGGTCTCGATAAGTTCCAGCAAGACATTCATGGCGCGCTCGCAGGCGCGTTCCAGCTTCACCGCCACGCGGCCGATGGAGCGCACGGACTTGCGCACGAACTCCACGTCCACGCCCGAGGCGTACCTGGCAAGGGCCAAAGGGAGAAATGGAGGCGAAGTGAACGGTTTGAAGTGGAGAATATATGGGAAAATAGGGTTTGAAGATGTTTTAAGATGTTGAAAGTGATGATCTATTTACAAAAATACTGAACACTGTTGAACACTGTTCTTTTGGTAGAGAACAAATTTTGAACAACTATGAATTCATGGGAATACACATTTAAAACACATGGGAACAACAATTTTTCACAAAACGGACGAAATGTCACGACGTTTTCGAAACGGGCCACTCTTTGAGTTCAAGGAGAACTTGGTCAAAGTTTTTGTCGCTGACCAGCATGCACATGATGTCGACCTTCTCCAGTTTCACCTGGTGAAAGTGGTGAAAAACTGGGTCAACTTTGCAAGCCCAAGTTGCAAGGATTTACCTTCTGGTTATTTAACATAGCCATGGGAAATGGCCCATTTATAGATGGTTTACCTATTAAAAATGGTGATTTTCCATGGCTATGTTAAATAACCAGATGGTAGCATGGAAATCATCCATTTATGAATATAGATGATAACTCAAAAATGTTCCCCAATTAATGTTGATTTCTGAAGAGCCAGGTTTTTCGGATGTCCGCTATAGCATGTATTTTTAGACTCAGTCTTCATTTGTTCAGTATTCCTCAAGGATATCACAGATTTTCGCAGTTCCATTGTCTAATGATGGCAAGCCAAAAAAAGCCTCAAACATGTTCATCAACCCACAGCAAAACAAAAACATTGCCGAGTTCCAGATCGGAAGGCAATTTGTGTTCATATATATGTATATATAGATATATACATTATGTATGTATGTACATATATATATATATATATTATACTATTATATTATGTAATAGAATTATAGTATATATATATGTATATGTATCATGTATTTTCACTATCATTATATGCTCAAAGAATGGCCCCAATTCTAGTAGTTATGCTAATATGCACAATTTCACCATGGATTACGTCTATAGTGGCCAGTTAGCCAGTTGGCGATGTTTTGGGTCAGGCATTCTGCTTAGTAACTGGACAATTACCAAATAAAACAAGCCAGTTATGAGATATATATATCCCAGAACCTTGCCTTCAACTTCTATCTTGGTATCATATACCCTACCCCCCCCGTTAAATCCCATGGCTTTCTTTAAAGGACCACCGTGATCACCACTCAACGACAGAACCATCCGCATCCGGGCGGCGTAGATGGGGTCGTTGTATTTGCAGAAGAACATCTTCACGTCCGAGGCCAAGATCCCCGGGCGTCGCTGCACGATCAAGCGGATGTTGCCTCGGCAAGGGCAGCTGGCAAAAGCAGGGACCGAATGTTGGGGGGAAAGGACGGCAGGGATGGGATCCTGTAATATAAATAAATGAACTAATGTAGCATCATATAGCCTTTTTTGGGATCCAAAGACTGTCTGAGAAGGTACGGCTGACCCCCCTGAATCATACCGCCAGTACTTCCTAAGAAGGCACTTGGATCGATAGGGATATATATATATAATTATATATATAACTATATGTATATATATATATATAATTATATATATATTATATTAAATGTCTATAAATAATAGCACATATGTACAATGTATATATGTATTATGTATGTTACATGTCTGTACAAGTGTACTATATATCATATCTCTAATTATCAATGTGGGACGTGAACAATGAAGCAAGAATGGGAGTGGCTCTGATACCCACCACTTGGAAGATAAATCGATAAATTGGAGATTGTTTTAGCCGGATTCCTTGCCTTTTTTTGCCAGTGAGATCCTCAGTTTTTGCTGCAAAATCCACAGTTCGCCGGAGAAATCGATAGTTTTCTGTGTGAAATCATCTACGTGAACTCCTGTTGCTTCAGTTCCCCAACATTTCCTGGTTGGTGGTTTCAACCAACCCCTCTGAAAAATGATGGAGTTAAAGTCAGTTGGGATTCCATTCCCAATCTGATGGAAAGTCATAATCCAGTCCATGGTTCCAGTCACCACCAACCAGTATTAACCATTATTAACCATCATTAACCATCATTACCCCATACATTTCACCCATGTTCCAAACAGGGGGTGAAATTTTGAGGTGCTGGCGAAATCATCCATCCCAGGCACGTAGCGCCACGTACTGCACCTCGGGCTCGCTACTCAGCAGAGTCACCTGACTTTCGAGACGTGGAACGATGGAACGATGGAACCTCCCAGAATGGAAGATTTCGTTGACGAAACCTGTGGAAAATCAGGTACCGTAGTAATCAAATGACATAAAATCTACCAACGAATATCATCAGATGAAGTTCTACACAGTTATGATTTGCCACTGCTCCTCCCAGATTTGGTTTAAGCGAAAATCTACAGGAAACTCAGGATATATTCCAGACATCATAAATGACATCATTTGGGGTAGAGTCCATCCAGTTTCCAGTTAAGCTTTTACCAGTCCAAATTGTTTGGATGTCTGTTGCTTTAAATGTCTTTAAAACATATCCAAAACCTGCAGATATAGCCCTAGTTGCAAGTGGCTTATAACTTATAACCTCATTTAAGTATAATGTATGCCTAGTTGCAGGAGTTATAATCTCATTTATCACTGTTATAAAAGAGCCATAAGTGTAAGATTACTTAAGATTACCCTCATTTGTTTCCCTTTTTTTTTTCAACAAACACATCCGTTGTCCCGTTGCGCAACGGGGACCGCGATGCGCTGCGCAGCTCAGTCACTAGGGGCGGATTCAGCTTTTTGGCCAACATCCGTAGCACCTCTGGGTTCTCCTGAGGATGGCGCCGTTGGTGATGAACCTCTTGGTGCATGAAGCCCCGCCGTTGAACGCCTATGAACTAGCAGTTTGCCATGGTAGAGATGGCCCATAGAAATAGATGGTTTACCGTTCTTAAAAATGGTGGATCTTTCCATGGCTATGTTAAATAACCAGAGGTTATACCATAAAACATTGTTGAGCCACTAAAAAAAGGCAGGGGATGTGATTAAAAAAATAATTCCTAACTAAGGTAACTAACCGGTTAACTATGGAAAATCACCTTGTTTAAATCTTTATAATGGGTAAATCAACTGTTTCAATGGCCACTTTCAATAGCACACTGTTAAATTACCAGAGGGTACAAATAGTCTGGGTTTAATGTGGGTAAAAACAATGCCATAAACCACCCATGACTGGGAATAGTTTATACCACCTATTGATTGCGATTTGGGGGATGGTTTATTTATATTGTTTTACAGTACACACATTACACTCTATAATTACTAAGAATATATATATATATATATATAGATTAATAGTTGATAATGAATCCCGTCCCCTCAGTTTCTACATCCTCAAATGCTCTCTTAGTGATAGTAGCATCAAAACTCAAAGCCACAAAATGCTGTGTCTCCCTAGTGAATGTGACTTCCGTCAGCTGTCAGCCACAAGGCTTAAACAGTATGCGGTTTCGACGTGATGGGTCTCACACATCCCGAAAAAAATCATCTTATACCCTCTGGTAAACGTTGACATAGCTATTGAACATGGCCATAGACATAGTGGATTTAACCATTAAAAATGGTGGATCTTTCCATAGTTATGTCTTGTCTGCACAGTGTCCCATCACTGGGTTTCTACTCTAACTGACCCATGATATCGGCAAACATTCCGGGAGATCATCGAGATTTTCCCCCCAAAAACACCCGTACTGGTTGGTGGTTTATATACTGTTAATATATGGTTATTATATGGTTAATGATGGTTAATATACTGTTAATATATGGTTAATATTCATGGTTATGATGATGGTTTTCATGATGGTTTTCAGAATAATCTGATTGGTGGTTTCAACCTACCCCTCTGAAAAATGATGGACTTCGTCAGTTGGGATGATGACATTCCCAACTGAATGGGAAAATAATAAACATGTTCGAGTCACCACCAATCAGCTAATCGGTCCAGACTTGGAATCAGCGTAAACCAAAAAAATCGGCCCAGTCTCTGTGTGCTCCATGCACTTCAAGATGACCTCATTGGAAACACACAGATGCCAGTGATATGGATCAACCAGCTGGTACCTCCATCTCCCTCGTCACACCAAACGTGGTACCCCCCAGTTTTGCTTGTTGATGTTACCCATCAAACTATAGATATGTTCACCATAAATCCACATGTTGGCCTAGCTCTAAAGCACCTCAGCCAAGTATGGGACACTACATTTCTGGAGATGATGTGAACAAATCCCCCTCTTTAAAGGCTGGACAAGTTAAACTATCCAATTTAATGTGGTAAACCCAATAATAAACCATCCCCAAGTCATCACCATTTTACCATCCCCAGTCATGGTAGGTGTATGGCATTGGGGTTGCCCCACATTCATCTAACGCACGATGTTTGTTGGCTGATTGATCCAATCACCTAGTTCTTTGTTGATCTGTTGATATAATCAGTATCTTTTGTGTTCATTTAACACTATGTTCAACAGTTGAATATATATATAATTATATGGTTGGTTCCTTCACAATATTTGCTGCTTCATGTTACCATAGAAATTCCCTAAATCAATCAACCTGAGATATGTATATGACACATATTATATATATATAGCTAATATAGATAGAACGTGAGATTTTCAAACATATTCTCGTTAGGGTGAGTTTTTTTTGAGAAATCCATATTCTATCTACTCCAGGGTGACTATACGTGTGGAATTATAAATATATAAATATATAAAGCTAAATCATGTTGTATTATAATATTATAAACCCACCCTTTACTAGTCCCCGAACCATTGGTACCCATTCTCCATCATTGTTGGTTAAGTTGTATATCCCATTAAATATGTTCGTTTATATCACCATTCAATCACCATTTAGTCCCATTAAATCCCCATAAAACCATTAAATCCAATTAAAATTAAATCCAAAAAAACAGTAACAATTCCATTAACATCCATCAAATCCCATTAAATACCCATCATCTATACCACCATGAAATTCCCATCGCGCCTTGATGGCGGTCAACACCACCGCCGGGTTGGCGTGCGACAGCCGCGCGGTCACACGCTCGCTGATGCTCTCCGCATCGTTGGGGCCGGTGGGTTCATAGGTGGCCAAGGCGTCCTGATTTTTCTCTACAATGTGGGGCCCCCAAGATAGATAAGTTGGTGCACATAACTCCAATAACTATGGTTTATGGTAGTTATAACTATAGTTAATGGGGCTTATAAACCAACTTATAACTGGGGGGCCTCACATTGTAGGGTAAACCTAAAATCCATTGGAAAATCAACAAGTTTACAATGTGGGGATGTCCTGGGATAAACAAAATATCATGGAATTTCATGGCCCTGGCAGATGATACAAGTTCTGTTGATGCTTATCTCTATAAGATAGAATAGGACCCCTAAAAAAGATAGAAACAGCTCAACGCATTGCCATTTCATAGGATTTTGCTTACCCTCCAGTAAACTAACATAGCTATTGAACATGGCCCAATGGTAGTCTACCTACAAAAAGCAATGATTTCCACAGCTATGTTGGTTTACCAGGTGGTAATTCGTTTACCAGTCTGCCCAGTCATCAGCCAGCACCGCGCCAGGCAACCAGAATGAAGACCTGGCCCCACTCGTTGCACTCATTCAAGGCTGCCTCGGTCATGGGCGACTTATGAATCAGTGGCCGTCCCCTTAAAACCCAGTTAAGGTACTAGGGGTTACAAACCAGTTATTAATCTATAGTCTATCATCGTTTAACCATGGATAACCGGGTTGTAATTAACCTTCATGGTTCACAACTAGCGTGGCCTTTCAGTGGAATTTGTCAATGGCCAGGCGCAGCTTGGTGAGCGTCCGACTTCACTTTGCCTCGGTTTTTGCAACACTTTGCCGTTGTGAACCTCTTCGCAAGCGCAATCATACCACACCAACGGCATGTGGCGCCCAGATTAGTCTTGTTGGATTGGATCTGCAGCTGGACACCGTGTATGTCTGCGGATTTCAGCAGCTCTGCGAGGAAGAAAGAAAACACTGGTTGGTGATTCATGGGTGTAGACAAGTTTCATTGCCGCAATGATTTGGCATGGCGTGACGATGAATTACATGGCTGAATAACTGGCCAGTGATTCATAAGTTGACGACCTTCATGGCCCATGTAAGTAGCAATAAAAGATGGCTGACGGCGTTTTTTTCCCCTGTATACTGGGAATTTCACATGCATTTTGTTTCCCTCTGGTTATGTCAAAATAGCTATTGAAAATGGCCATAGAAATAGTTGATTTATCCATACCCATATGCTCCATGTATGGAATATTTACCAACATTTACCCCATAAATGACCCAGTCATGTAGGTAAATATACCATACATGGAGCACATGGGATATACTACTGGGAATTTCACATGCATCGATCCACATAGAGGATTTTTCAGCCAGATGAGATCAAAGCAGAGATCAAGCCATGCCTTTTCGCGTCGAATTGGCTTGATCAGTAATGGGAGAACTAAAGCAATAGAATCATCTTTGAGTAACAAACTGGGTAATCTAACATGTAATGAACATTTGGTGGCATTTTGCTGAGGTCCACTCTTTGATTTTCCCCATGTTCGGTGATGACATTCGATCAGTTGCAATCCCCACAAATAGAACATATCTATATTTACCCTCTGGCTATTTAACAGTTTGCCATGGAAGCCATGGCCCATAGAAATAGAGGTTTACCTATTAAAAATGGTGGATCTTTCCATGGCAAACTGTTAGTCATAACCAGATGGTAGCTGGTTTCGATATCCCCATGTACAGTATTGAACGATTTCCAGTGAGCTGATCGCTGCTGGAGAATTTTTCCCCGCTCAAGTCCAGATCGGAAGTGGTGATATATATATATACTGATAATAATGTGTATATATATATATATACATATAACTAGGAGGGTCACTGGATATATACAGTATATATAGATATAGTGTGTATATATATAATATAGTAAATAGTATATAAGATCTAAAAAAAAGTATATATATATAATCTATAAACATGGACCAAGACATCCCAATGACATCTACAACTATGCATATATATATATATATAGTATCATGGTGAAAACATCGTGGCTTACGGTCATCCTTCTCATATTGGGAATCCAAATCACCCATGCGAGCCATTTGTTTTACCCTGTTTTCCCATGTCATGAAAAAATAAATACTAGTTGGTTGTTATTACTTTTCCTACTATGGGTCAAATATAATCCCCAGTACATTAGGTAGTGTAAGTATGTATAAGTTCCTATACTAACCAATCAACCAGGGTATATCCGACCATATCACCATATTTCATGGTTAAATCCATGATATTCCCATTTGAATCCCATACTCTTGGTCTCCTGTAAACGTTTACATATATGTGGAGTTTACCCACCAGTTATAGATCATTTGACCATTTTCCAAATAGAAAACCATGTGTCTTCTCTATGCAAAACAACTTGGTGGTCTCAACCCCTCTGAAAAATATGAACGTTAGTTGAGAATATAACATTCCCAACTGAATGGAATAAACATCATGTTCCAAACCACCAACCAGCAAGCCATGTTTCAACCATGGCTCACCCGGATAACCCGATCTCTGAGGCTCCCTGCCAGCAGTTTGGGGATGTTCCCCCGATCCAAATCCAGCAGATCCTTCCCGCAGGTCTGTGAGATCTCGGCCAAGCCGGCCACAGCATTGGCCACCACCATGGGGTTCCTGAGACGAACCCAACCGAATCCTGGGATTTACCCCGGTAATTTCTTGCAGTTCGCGAACTTGAAGCCGTGGCCCATTGAAATCGTTGATTTACCGAAATTGTTCATAGCATGGTGATTTTCAATAACTGTATGTTGGTTTACCAGAGGGTAGTATCCATCATAATCCCATTATCAGCCCATTAGAATCCCTATTGGAAACCACATCCGTCAGGTCTTCCAGGTGCCCCATCCAAGTCATCCAAGGCTCCCATCTCCCAGCAGATCTTTGAGGATATCCACGAATCCCTGGTCATCCACCAGTTCGGGATTGATGTCATAGACCTGGCAGGTTTGAACAAACCGACCCGGCAAAGTGTCCTAGGTCACTATCATATACATATGATCATATGGACATCTATGATCATATGGGCCACGGTCAATATTTGGTATATAGCTCCAAGTCATCAATTTTTGAAGTGTATTATCGTTTTCAGGTTTTGGTATATATATTTAAATATATGCAAATGTTATCGTTTTTTGAAGTGTATTATCGTTTTCCAAGCCCCAGCTCAATTTCCAGAAAATAAAGATGTCTCGAATACTACTCTCCATTAACCTAAATTTTGGCTGTAGCTCATGTATATATATATATATACACACACACATTTATGTACAGTAGATAGATTTCAAATCATGTTCAAGCGGAAGCCTACCCTGTAGGCTTCAACAAGGGTTTCGGAATATCAGCCTCAACCAACCAATATGACAGATCATTGTACTCCAATGTAATCGTTGTGGGACTCTCGCCAAGAAAAGCCCTATATGATGCAATAATGCGATGTAGCGTAGACCGACCTGCATCATATGATTGAGCTCTTAATGACACATACAACATCACAGCAGGAACATCAAGGGTGAAACAAACAGCAACTGTCAACCTCAAAACCAACCAGATTTCTCATGACCCCATGTCTTCCCGGAGTTCCCACACCATTCCAGCGACTTTGCCAACCATCATGGTGATGGTGGATCTCTGTTCTGCCAAAAGTATTTGGAACATGGCATGGCATGGTATTTGGATGGATCGCATCTGTTTTTTTTTGTTTGGAGATGGTGACTTTGGCGACGACTTGGGCAGTGTTGAGATCGGTCCATGATTTTTGAGTTTTGACTCATCTCGATCAGGTCAAGACTCGCTTCTTGTGGCTGGACGAGAAGTTGCGTTTCTGTTTACGGCCAAAGCCGCAATTGACGTTTGCCAAGCTCAAGTTGGACGCATCATCATCCATTTTAGGGGCTGCAAACTTCAGCTGATTCTAGTGGCTTCATACGCATAGGCTGCATAGTTATAAGCTAAGATGGGAGATTGATATAACATGATATAATTGTGACCCTCAAAGTCAAACCCACTTATATATATAATATATAATATATATAATATATAGTATATATAATATATAATATATATAATATAATATATATATATAATTAGCGGAACTTCTCTACTTAGAGTTCCAGGTTTACAGTTAAAGTTTTAGTTTTAGTTATAAAATGCTATAGTCATAAAGATATTTATACCAACTGTTATATCCCAAATTCCATAGTTATACCCTATTATGTCTTAGTTATAACTATAGTCATACTAGAGCTATTACATCCCACATGTATACCCTAGACATTAGAGGTATAACCCGACCTAGTTTCAAATGATAGTTATATCCCATAGTTATTCTAGTTGTAGTTGTACTTATGATAGTTATCTGGTTGGGTGTTTTAATCATCTTGAAAATTATTGGTCAATGGGAAGGATTATCCCATATATTGAATGGAACATTAAATTCATGTTCCAAACCACCAACCAGTTATAGTTCCAGGCTCAACTTCTGATGCCTTGGGGATGCAAATGGCCGAAGTCTTTCGGACGTAGGGATCATGGTCCTGGCAGATGTGCAAGTGGCCCTGAGGAAAAAACAGTGATTTCACGGGAGTTTTGTAGGACTTAAAAGGAATTTATGGGATTAAATTGGTGTATGTATATATATATATATATGATGGGTATTCAATATGATTTGATGGATGTTAATGTGTTTTTTACTTTTTTAATTGGATTTAATGGATTGTACGGGGATTTAATGAGAGTTTATGGTGATTTAATGGGATTGAATGTGGATTTAATGGAAGTTTATGGTGATTCAATGGGATTCAATGTGGATTTCATGGTGATTTCATGGGGACATATATAGTGGATTTAACCGTGATTTTTTTCAGCATCAACAAAAAAGTGAAACATGGGGATTTAACCGTCAAACGGAAATGGATTGGTTTAAGGGAAAATGTTAACCGGAAACCATGGTAAAAATACCATCAAATTGATCGGGGTTTCCTGTTAAATTTTTCCCATCATCCAATTCTATGATAATAGGAACAGGTGGATTTTCTGATGATTTCATGGTGATTTAACCCATGACGGATCCATGTATGCTATATATATATATATATGGTAACATGGATCCCATCAACATAGCCCAGTCATGTTAGCATATATACCAGCACCATGGATCCTATGGGTAATGGGATTTGGGGTAATGGGATATGTGATATAATCAAAGCCAACAACGGGATGACCCATGGATATTCGCAGGGGATCTATGTGATATATTACGTATGTTCACGGTAATGATTCTATAGATGAGAAAACATAAAAAGAACAATAACATCTGGCAATATCATGCAATATGTAGATTTTTCATATGATTAAATGTGATCCATGGGATATTTAAGGGATTCTATGGTATGCAGTATGGAAATGTGGTATTGAATCCCCAAGTTACGCCCGTTTTCAGATGAGATCCCAGCGCCTGCTAGATGTGATGAAAACAGCGGCGGCATGTCCCAAGCATAAGGAAAACACTACAGGCTATAAGTGGCGGAATCCTAAAGTCTTAACATGCCAAATTTTGGCGTCTGATTAGTCTTCACATGACTATGGGTCAAAACTCTGGTACCCGTCTGTTCACATCAAAATGCTGGGATATAATCTATATATTTCAATTAGTGGATGTTCATCAGCCCATTTTTTTAAAAAAATCATAGGCTTCAACCCATTCATCCCCACATATTGTTGTCTCGACCCATGGCCAGCCACCCAGCCACGCTGTCCTGGCAACATCTTCGAAGAGGCTCCAGCAGGTATTCCTTAGGGCATCTTGCTGAGCGGGAAAGCCACGCGCTTGGAGTACTGCTTGGACTTCCGAGTTGCATCCACTGGGTTAATGAGATACATATATAAATACAAATAGATCTATACGTATATATATATGCAGATAACTTACTATTCTGTTTAAATCTGGCTATAATTATCATTTTAATTTGGACTATGCGGGCTGTTGAAAACAATGGTTGTAATTGTTAGATGCTTTTGGTCTATTCATACATCTATAATTGGAAAAGAACACATAACTTCACATAACTAATGCTATCTATCCATACAAAAATGTTTTAGTAGCCCAATCAAAGATGATCAAATCAAACCTATGTTTATCACCAGTTTTGTAGGATTTTACTATTCTATCAGTTTACTGTTTCTGGTGGTTGCCAACTATCTATTTATCTTTTTATCTATCCATCTATGGATCTATCTTGTCTAATTAAGTAGGATTTTACTTAATTCTGTGTGTTTTTTTGGGAGTTGCTATCTATCTATCCATTGATCTATCTATATGATAGCAAAGGTGGATGAGGTGCTGTCCCCTGCCTGTGCAAAGGTTCCCACTGTTGGTGGGCGGCCTGTTGGCCCGTATCTTGTTGCAGGAAGTGCTTGGAAGCCGTTCTCTGCCAGGTCTACTGCATACTGGACCAGCTGCTGGCGTTCCAAGATGGGTGCTGTCCCATCTGCAGCTGCCACAGCTTGAACTGCTTCCGGTGGGATTCCCCAAAGCTCGAGGTCTGTGCGGTTGTAAAGCTGCAGTGCTCCGGAGAGTGCTGAGGACTTCGCGATGGCTACGAAGTCAGATGCACCCTCCGCCAGGGAGAATGCGGCCTGCAGTGGTTCTGCCCATGCATCAATCACCACATTGTCGATCCCACCTAGTTCTTGCTCCACAAATGCGATGTGTTCATGCGTGTCGAGGAATTTCTTCGCTACTTGTGCTAGTGCAAGCCTTTGCTTCCCGTTGGAAATGCCAAACAGCCCTAGCCCTTGGGTTGCTGCACTGCTGGCGTCTGCATATGTCCCTGCCGTGCCTTGTGCAACAGCGTTGGGTGCTTGTGCATTCCTCGCTGTGTTCGTTGCATCAACTGCGACAGCAGCGCCTGCAATGTGCGTAGCGGTCAGAGGTGCCGCCATTGAGAAGCCATAAATCCATACATCCTCCATAAATCCATGATAAATCCATCATAAATCCTCCATAAATCCATCAAAAATCCCCATAAATCCTCCATAAGTCCCCCTAAATCCTCCATAAATCTTCCATTAATCCTCCATAAATCCTCCATAAATCCTCCATAAATCCTCCATAGATCCGCCATAAATCCGCCATAAATCCGCCATAAATTGTCCATAAGTCATCCATAAATCCTTCATAAATCCTCCATAAATCCTTCATAAATCCTCCATAGATACGCCATAAATCCGCCATAAATCCGCCATAAATCCTCCATAAATCCTCCATAAATCCTCCATAAATCCCTCATAAATCCTCCATAAATCCTTCATAAATCCTCCATAGATCCGCCATAAATCCGCCATAAATCCGCCATAAATCCTCCATAAATCCTCCATAGATCCGCCATAAATCCGCCATAAATCCGCCATAAATCCTCCATAAATCCTCCATAAATCCTCCATAAATCCCTCATAAATCCTCCAAAAATCCTCCAAAAATCCTCCATAGAGTTTCTATAAACTTTGTTTTCAAGTGGCCAGGCGAGCCACGGACAACTTTCCCGGGGGTAGTCTAAAATATCAGTTCGTATATTTGGTGATGCCTAATTATTCCTGGGTGTTCTGACATCATATGTGGGTGACCTGTGGTTAAAATATGGGCACTTTAGCCAAAGACCAATGGGCCTACTGAATGAACATTGGTGACCCAATGCATGGTTTGAAGAATTCCTAGGTGTTTCCTGGTGATGCCCAATTTCTCCTGGGTGGTGTGACATATGTGGGTGACCTGTGGAAGACATATGGGTAACTTATGGTAATTTAGCCAAAGACCAATGGACCCACTGAGTGGACATTGGTGACCCAATGAATGGTTTGAAGAATCCCTGGGTTTTTTCTGGATTTTCCTGGTGATGCCTAATTATTCCTGGGTGTTCTGACATATGTGGGTGACCTGTGGTTAAAATATGGGTACTTTAGCCAAAGACCAATGGGCCTACTGAATGAACATTGGTGACCCAATGCAGGCATGGTTTGAAGAATTCGTAGGTGTTTCCTGGTGATGCCCAATTTCTCCTGGGTGGTGTGACATATGTGGGTGACCTGTGGAAGACATATGGGTAACTTATGGTAATTTAGCCAAAGACCAATGGACCCACTGAGTGGACATTGGTGACCCAATGAATGGTTTGAAGAATCCCTGGGTTTTTTTCTGGATTTTCCTGGTGATGCCTAATTATTCCTGGGTGTTCTGATATATGTGGGTGACCTGTGGTTACAATATGGGTACTTTAGCCAAAGACCAATGGGCCCACTGAATGAACATTGGTGACCCAATGCATGGTTTGAAGAATTTCTAGGTGTTTCCTGGTGATGCCCAATTTCCCCTGGGTGGTTTGACATATGTGGGTGACCTGTGGAAGACATATGGGTAACTTATGGTAACTTAGCCAAAGGCCAATGGACCCCTGAGTGAACATTGGTGACCCAATGAATGGTTTGAAGAATCCCTGGGTGTTTCCTGGTGATGCCCAATTTCCCCTGGGTGGTTTGACATATGTGGGTGACCTGTGGAAGACATATGGGTAACTTATGGTAATTTAGCCAAAGACAAATGGGCCCACTGAGTGGACATTGGTGACCCAATGAATGGTTTGAAGAATCCCTGTGTTTTTTTCTGGATTTTCCTGGTGATGCCTAATTATTCTTGGGTGTTCTGACATATGTGGGTGACCTGTGGTTAAAATATGGTTACTTTAGCCAAAGACCAATGGGCCCACTGAATGAACATTGGTGACCCAATGCATGGTTTGAAGAATTCCTAGGTGTTTCCTGGTGATGCCAAATTTCCCCCGGGTGGTGTGACATATGTGGGTGACCTGTGGAAGACATATGGGTAACTTATGGCAATTTAGCCAAAGACCAATGGACCCACTGAGTGGACATTGGTGACCCAATGAATGGTTTGAAGAATCCCTGGGTTTTTTCTGGATTTTCCTGGTGATGCCTAATTATTCCTGGGTGTTCTGGCATATGTGGGTGACCTGTGGTTAAAATATGGGTACTTTAGCCAAAGACCAATGGGCCCACTGAATGAACATTGGTGACCCAATGCATGGTTTGAAGAATTCCTAGGTGTTTCCTGGTGATGCCCAATTTCCCCTGGGTGGTTTGACATATGTGGGTGACCTGTGGAAGACATATGGGTAACTTATGGTAACTTAGCCAAAGGCCAATGGACCCCTGAGTGAACATTGGTGACCCAATGAATGGTTTGAAGAATCCCTGGGTGTTTCCTGGTGATGCCCAATTATTCCTGGATGTTTTGACATATGTGGGTGACCTGTGGAATAAATATGACAAATGAGTCAAGATAAATAATCTCCTTGGGACCCCTGTGCTTTGATATCTGGCATATCTTCTGACATCTTCTGACATTATATCTGGCATATCTTCTGATATCTTCTGACATTCTTTCTGGCACTCTATCTGGCATATCTTCTGACATGCTCACTCACGTCACAGCCACGTCACAGCTGCGGACGCACGGGCGATGAAACAGCACATAACAGATCATAACAGCACATGTATGCACATGTCATCACCGTTCATCTATTGTCATATATTGTCATCTATTTTTCAAGTGATGGTTCAAAATCTATCATAACTTATCATCCGAGTTTATATGCCCATGATTGGCTAATTATTCTGAGGTATGTTGACACAAATTATTCCATACAACATCTTGGGATAGAATAGACCCCCTTAGCAGAATAATTAAAAATTGATCCGAAAACTATTTATTGCAAATCAATTATTCCTGATGTGACATGCCCCCCCTGGAATAATTACCCAAGGTAGTGGCCATTCTATATGTACACTGTATATTGCCCTCCAGTAAATTAACATAGACCCTGAAAATCACCAATTTTTAATGGAAACTAGTCTTCCAACCCCTATCTGCCAGGGTCTATATTAATTTACCAGAGGGTAGTATACCACCTACGACCCTCTTGGCTGCACCTGGTAACCTCCATCCAAGGGGCCGTCACCTGGTCCAGGCGGATGCAGCCCATGGTCCGCACCGCTAGGGAACGGATCAGGGGATTGGGATCCGTGGCGTCTTTTCGGAAGGTGTTGATGGCCAGGATCGCCTTAGGTTCTGAAGAAATAGCCATGAAAAAAATATGGAAAAATATAGGCACTGGAGAACAGATAGAAATATGGAAATATCTCACTGAAAGGTATCTAGATCGTTATAGAAATAGGGAAACATCATAAGTGCTGCCGATAAAATGAGGATAGTCACTGAAAAATACATGTATATACAATTATACACATATAAAGATAAAGATCTAATCAAATATAACTAAGAACCGTGAAACAAATATGGACAATTACTGCCTAATAAAATACATAGGGAAAAATAACTCATGATATACACATAGTAATAACATAGTAATAACAGGAACTAATCATATATATCGAGATTTAAACATGGTAACTACAAACTCCCATAAGTTGGGAAATAAGCCCTACAACTATGGTTATATCACAAGATCTAATCATATATAATCATATATAAAAACAGGATCTAATCATATATTTTTGGAAATATAAACGCTATACATAAACATGGTAATACCGCTAATAATTCCCTTAATTTGGAATATGATGGAACCCCTGCAACTAACTATGGTTATGTATGTGCCATGTTCAACAAATGGTGGGACATGGTCATCCATCTCATAGGAATCCAAACCTCATGGCTATCAAAATCGCTGTGAAAATGGATTTATGACAAATTCCTTTTATAGATCGGAAAACAACCCATGTGAGCTATGGCAATAACTAGACGACGGTTGGCCCGAGAGCGAAAAAGACGTTTTTCAAGCTGCTCTGAGTATGGTAGTCGTAAAAAATAGTCGGTGAATGGTTGGTGAATTGCATATGAGCTATGAAGGGATAAGTTGTGAAAAGTCAGATTGATCAAGAAGAGGATACATGTGACAACCCATGCACATGCACTGTGCTGCTTGGTAAAGGGCATCATATGACACGTGACTTGCAACCACAGAGAGACATAGATAGAGAGAGGGAGAGAGAGACGGAGTTTGCATCCTATCCTTCCTATTATTTTTCACACGCACAGAACCTTTTTACACACAGACGCTTTTGCACAGAAGCTGTTACACACAGACGCATTTACACACAGACGCTTTTACACACAGAAGCGTTTACACACAGACGCTTTTACACACAGAAGCTTTTACACACAGAAGGTTTCTCACACAGACACTAGACATTTTTACACGCACAGGCTTTTACACACAGACGCCTTTACACACAGACACTAGGCACTTTTACACAGAGAAGGCTTTTACACACAGGCGCCTTTACACACACACACAGACGCTTTTATACCCAGATGCTTGTACACACACACACACACTTTCACGCACAAACGCTTTTGCACACAGAAGCTTTTATACACAGAGGCTTTTACACAGCTTTTACACACAGAAGCTTTTACACACAGACACTTTTACACACAGACATTTTTACCCACAGAAGCTTTTACACACACACAAACACACAGAAGCTTTACAACAGCTGAGAGCATCACATCAACAGCGCACATTGTTTTGGTCTGCTACATCATCACGACAAATCTGTTCACACCGTGCGAAAGATTTGAGCCCAGGAATGTGCAACTCGCCTGTAGTAAAGAGGTAAATCTGTATGAATTTGCGCAGTCGACCGCAAAGTATTAGATCTTCAACTTCGAAACTGAGAACACGACTCCTGAGTTTGACATAGCAAAGCACCATTGTCGCGACGACCTGCAAGCTCGAGACTCAGCACTACTATGATGCTGTGAATGACACATATTTCTAGAATTTGATGATCGGACTTTTCATAAACAAATAAACAACAAAAGCTCGGTACCATGATGCCATAGATGCCACATGTTACGCTACTTTACACTCGACATAGCAGCGAAACTACATCAAAAAAAGCTCGGTACCATGATCATCTGCATGACATGTGTTATGTCATTTTATTAAGGAAATTTCCATGCAAATCACCAAAACAAGCTCGGTACCCTGATGCTGTAAATGATATATGTTACACTACTTTACTCAAAACAATTCAACAGAAATACAGAAAAAATGAAACAGCGACCACAATGCGTTCACAAACGTCACGGGTGCGCGACTTGAACCAAACATTTTGCATTCAGAAATCCCGAGACATTCATATCTGTTCGCTAATTCCTAATATTTGTTCCTGATATTTAATGCTAATCTTCATGTTCACACTGACCGAAACGCAGCTTACAATGAACACATCAAATCAACACACTTCAAAAAAATCGTGTACCGTGAATCGCCGACTAAAACCACATGTTATTCATTTGAATATACAATTTCCCACACAGTTTGTCAACTAAACCAAAAAACCCAATACCATGATGCTATAAATTATATCTGTCATCTTCAAGAGTTCAAGATAAGCGAGCATCACACACATTCACATCACCTCAGCAGCATAGAAGACTCCGCAGAATGCCGAGTCCTTCAAAAGACAAACACAAACCTGCTACACACTCGCGCAATTCAATGCAACGATTGCGTTCTTTGAAGCCTGAGAACACAGCTCCTGAGTTGGACATGCACACATCATTGTCGCATACACCTGCAAACTGAACAGTGAAGCTCACTATGAACATATCAAAACGACACACTTGAATATTGCTGTTTAAAGAAAAAAAGCTCAGTACCACGATGCCACGTATAACACATGTTATTTCATTTTATTATGGCAAATCTCACATATATGGCACAAAAAAGCTCGGTACCATGATGCAGTGAGCTACGTACTCGCACAGTCCAATGCCAAGAAATCGTTCTCCGACTTCGACGCTCAGAGCACAATTGCTAAGTTTGACACTGGGCATGGGCACCATTGTCGCAGAGACCTGCAAACTGAACAGTGAAGCTTGCAATGAACACATCAAATCAACACACTTCAAAAAAAAATGGGTACCGTGAATCGCCGACTAAAACCACATGATATTCATTTGAATAGATGTATCGGAACTCATCCTCCGACATGTCTCCAAGATGAGATCGCTTGCACCCCACAACTTCCAACACCCATGCCACTTCCTCATCCTCCATGACATGCTTGATTTCAAAACAAACTTGAACGGTACAATATTGAACGGTACAATGATTCCCGTAGTATTTTTTTGTCCACTGCTCATGCATTTCAATGAAAACATCACATATATTTTTTTGTGGTATACATCACATAGATCCACTGCATCGTAAACAAACACTGACATTGTCACAATGCAATTCTCGAGATCTCACGGACAGCCCCTACAGAAAACTCGAGAAGTGCAAGAAATGTTACAGATACCCGTTTGCCAATCGTCACTTGTTTCACGAACATTCAGCGTACATATAAGAATATGGATGTTCACTCTGTGCACAATGCATCTTGTCTCTACGTTCACGTCTGAGCCCAGGAAAGAGGTACTTGGTAACTTCTACAACTTCATGCACTAACCTGCTACACACTCGCACAATTCAATGCAAAGAATGTGTTGTTCGAAGCCTGAGACCACGACTCCTGCGTTTGACAAGCAAAAATCATTGTCGCATAGACATGCAAACTGAACAGTGAAGCTCACTATGAACATATCAATTCCCACACAGATTACCACACCAAACGAACCAAGCTCCGCACGTCCTAGCACGGATACACTAGCAAGCATTGTCACCCTCAATCTCTAACAGTTTCATGTCGTGCGGTTAAAGTACACACAAAATCTTTTACACACAAACGCTTTTACACATGGTGCTTTTACACAAACACACTTTGACACACAGACGCTTTGACACACAAAAGCCTTTACACACAAACGCTTTTACACACAGACGCTTTTACACACAGACGCAACGCTTTTACACACAGACGCTTGTACACACAGGACGCTTTTACACACAAAAGCTTTTACACACAGACGGTTTTACACACAGACGCTTCTACACGCAGATGCGTTTTACACACGCACACACGCTTTCACACACAAACGCTTTTACACGCTTTCACACACAAACGCTTTTACACACAGACGCGTTGACACACGAACGCTTTTACACACAGACGCTTTTGCACGCAGATGCTTTTTACACACGCGCAGACGCTTTCACACACAAACGCTTTTACACACAGACGCTTTTACACACAGACGCTTTTACACACAGACACTTGTACAGAAACGAAAGCGTCCATCGCAATTTTTCCGCAGTTTTTGACGTCCAACGTCCATTTCGTGCGAAAGGGTTACGATTGACCAAGTAAAATCGCAATTTTTCCTCAGTTTTTGACGTCCAACGTCCATTTCGTGCGAAAGGGTTGCGATTGACAACTCAAAGTCGCAATTTTTCCTCAGTTTTTGATGTCCAACGTCCATTTCGTGCGAAAGGGTTGCGCGCGACACCTCAAAGTCGCAATTTTTCCTCAGTTTTTGATGTCCAACGTCCATTTCGTGCGAAAAGGTTGCGCGCGACACCTCAAAGTTGCAATTTTTCCTCAGTTTTTGACGTCCAACGTCCATTTCGTGCGAAAGGGTTGCGCGCGACACCTCAAAGTTGCAATTTTTCCTCAATTTTTGACGTCCAACGTCCATTTCGTGCGAAAGGGTTGCGCGCGACACCTCAAAGTTGCAATTTTTCCTCAATTTTTGACGTCCAACGTCCATTTCGTGCGAAAAGGTTGCGCGCGACCAATAAAAGTTGCAATTTTTCCTCAGTTTTTGGCGTCCAACGTCCATTTCGTGCGAAAGGGTTGCCGGCGACGCTTCAAAATCGCAATTTTACCTAGGTTTTGGACGTCCAACGTCCATTTCGTGCGAAAAGGTTGCGTTTCGTGGCGCTCCGGCGGCACCGCCCCCGCCTTAAGAGAGAATAGAAGAAGAGCGAGAGGAGATCTTCAGATGTGAAGGTGTGAAGATCTAGATCTGCAGGTGTGAGGGTGTGAAGATCTAGATCTGCAGGTGTGAGGGTGTGATGATGTAGATCTGCAGATGTGAGGGTGTGAAGATCTAGATCTGCAGGTGTGAGGGTGTGAAGATCTAGATCTGCAGGTGTGAAGGTGTGATGATGTAGATCTGCAGGTGTGAAGGTGTGATGATGTAGATCTGCAGATGTGAGGGTGTGAAGATCTAGATCTGCAGGTGTGAAGGTGTGAAGATGTAGATCTGCAGGTGTGAAGGTGTGAAGATCTAGATCTGCAGGTGTGAGGGTGTGAAGATCTAGATCTGCAGGTGTGAGGATGTGAAGATCTAGATCTGCAGGTGTGAGGGTGTGAAGATCTAGATCTGCAGATGTGAGGGTGTGAAGATCTAGATCTGCAGGTGTGAAGGTGTGAAGATCTAGATCTGCAGGTGTGAGGGCGTGAAGATCTAGATCTGCAGGTGTGAGGGTGTGAAGATCTAGATCTGCAGGTGTGAAGGTGTGAAGATCTAGATCTGCAGGTGTGAAGGTGTGAAGATGTAGATCGGCAGATGTGAGAGTGTGAAGATCTAGATCTGCAGGTGTGAAGGTGTGAAGATCTAGATCTGCAGGTGTGAAGGTGTGAAGATCTAGTATAACGGCTGCTTTTTTACGAAGAACCCTTCGCAGGCGCTCTCGGGAAAAAGGGATGTGTAGCTGGAGATATCATGTAATGGTGACATAATCATAGGGTGAATTAATACGGGAATGGAATGGGATATAACCAACCATATGGAATTATTTTACACCCATAGTAACCAAGAGTATATATACTAATATCATCCAATAGTATGGGCATATATGCAATATTGGCTACTATCATTCCCAGTTATACCCGTTTTTCCATCTCATGAAATACAACTTGTCTTTTTGTCGGTTTCCCAAATGTGGGTTAGCTCATGTAATTCCCAATATAGTTATAACTCCTGCACATGTTGGATAATTAAATCCTGGTTGGTTGTTTTAACCATCTTGAAAAATATAAGTCAGTTGGGAAAAATAAAAAACATTCCAAACCACCAACCAGTAAATCTATTCTAAATGACTCACATGGCTTGGGATGGTAGGCTGGTAGGCTTTGGACGGCGAAAGTGTGTTGAGGATCCACGGAAAATGACCTCGATCTATGTGGAAGCCGGTTTCTGAAACCCTGCTGTAACCCAGGAATCCAAACAAAACCCAACTACCCTCTGGTAATTTAACTATGGAAAATCACCATTTATAGTGGATTTTCCAATGAAAAATGGTGATTTTCCATAGTTATGTTAGTTTACCAGAGGGTAAGCCAAACTAGGTGAATGACGCTGTCCCAACAATATGATTGGGGAAAACTTTGTAAATACGACACTCCATTCGCTAAAATGGCACCGCTTGGATCTCAATGACTCTGGGATAGCCAGGTTTGGCCAACCGTGTATGGGATCTGGATGGATTTCTGATTCTTCACAACAGCCTGATTTCAACTTAGCATCCGCATTGCCAGTGCCCTGCTAAGTATGTCCCTGAAACCAATAGCAATTCGTTCCGGGCTACAAGTTCTGGCTGAGCTTTGGCATAGTTCATCACATACCTTCGGCTGCTCCACATCGAGATTTGGTGAGCCAACCATCCAAGATCTTCGAGTTTTTTGGGGTCAATGATCCCAATATTGATCCACATTGCCAATGAAAACCAAAACTTGGGGTATTGTTCTGAAGCAAAATGAATTTTCAAAACAAATGTCTTTCAACATCCCAAATGCTACGAAATGGTAAAGTATATGGATTGATCATGAGCACTCCTGGATCCAAGTGTGCAGCTCTTAACTTAAGCTCAGTTGGGATCAGTTGAGGGGTCCAACTAGTCGAAATGAAATCAATGAACGTGAATGGTAAAAATCTACCACCCTCAAAGTCACTCTTGAAATGGACCAGAGTACCACAAGTCTAGGTATTCGATGGTAATTCATTTGATATATTATAATATATTATATAATATACACACATGTGATACTTACATATATACATATATATTTGATGTATTAAATTTAGTAACGTTTACATATATTTATATGCTATGTATGAATGTATGTGTAATATCCGCTTGGGCTCATAGTCGTCAGCGGTGCTAACCCGCCCTTCCCAAAATCATGAGCCTCAACAGGGTCTTCCCATTTTCAGATGTGAAAGCAAAACATCTTTCAAACCGCCAACCATGCAGGTGTATCTATCACCCTATGCAGTCGAAAACACTAACAAGAGGATTCTAAACAGATTAATGGGGAGGTGTCTGTAACATTCATATTTCTGCGTTTACTGCAATCAAGTTGTTTTTCTTCCCATAGCTCCAAAATTACCCCAGGCGGTAACCAATATTGGGATATGTGGATATGTCTTGATGGCGGCTTTCCAACAAACTCATCACCAAGTGATTATCCCCATGATGTCCCATCATATCCATGTTATCACCCTTTCTTCTCAAGCCACCAGATGTTCCAATCTTTTTTCTCTGCTGAAGTCACCCGAAAAATATTCCAGAACTTTCCAGAAAAGATATGATGGTCTAGCCACAATATATATATATATATATATATATTAGGCATTGCTTCTAACAGTAACTCTTTAGGCAATTATACCCCAATATTTGGTGTATATATACCCCAAAATTTTGGCAATTTATACTTTAATATTTGTGGCATTCATACCGTCAGGACACAAGGAATGGAAATCTGAAAGCTGGCAGCAACCTTCCGGTCTGGGAATGAAATGGCTTTGGAGCAGGATGGAATAGAATCAAATAGTGAAAAGCACAGCTCAAAAGTGATCCAAAAAATACCCTTAATTTGGTGTATGGAAGGCCAAAAAATACACCAAATTTGGGGTATGGAAGGCCAAAAAATACACCAAATTTGGGGTATGGAAAGCCAAAAAATACACCAAATTTTGGGGGTATGGAAGCCAAAAATACACCAATTTTGGGGTATTTTAATAAATTTAAAACAATGGTGTATTTTGTTGCTTCCCCGCAAGCACACTAGCGTTCCAGACCCCATCTCCCGAACCCATTCCAGACCAACCCAAATTTTGGTGTATTTGTTGGATTCCAGCCCCAAATTTGGGGTAATGTTTTTTGGAATTCCATACCATCAAATTTTGGAGTATGGTTTGGGCGGACTCAAAAGGTATAGAAACCGCAACAAAAATTCCTTCAAAGTGGTAACGTACAACATTTGTGTTGGCTATTGTGTATAGTTTGGAAACACACATTTGGGGTATATTTATTGAACACACATTTGGGGTATATTTTATTGAACAAGATTTGGGGTATATTTTGAGCAAGATGTGGGGTAATTTTGAACAAGATTTGGGGTATATTATAACAAAAATTGAAGTATATTATAACAAAAATTGAGGTGTATTATAACAAAAATTGAGGTATATTATAACAAAAATTAGGGCATTTCTCGTTGGCACAGCACAAACGTAGACCTTCAGCAGGTCCTCGTAATCGGAGGCAATGAACCTGTGTGGGAACGTTCACGGAGGTGCTCTTCTCAATGAACTTGTCCATCACCACAGCATAGCTCGGGTGGTTGCCCGCCTGCTAGACGGAACCACCTGTCAGCTGCACAGCGAAAGCAGGTGAGTTGGGCCAGAGCTCGGAGACTTTGTTCATAGTGGTGCCGGCCAGTCCCAACCGTGGCCCAACATGGACAATCAGCGTGAAAGGGGCCTTCATCAAGTTGACGATCTGGTCCAGGTAGCCAGCCACGATCTTCATCTTACTTGTCGGGGTGTCGATCAGCACAACAGGCCTTCCATTTTGCAAAGGCAAAGAAGAGACATGAGCCTTGAAGGTGTCAATGGTCCGAAAACACTTGGTCTCATCCATGTCCTTGTTGGTTAAAAATTGGGTATGAGTAAGATGCTGGGGATACCTAATGTAGGCAATATATAGCCTGTAAAGAGGGTACCCTAGTTACTGTTAGAGGAAACCCCTAATATATATATATATATGTATATAATATGTGTATATATATATATACACATGTATATCATATATTATATATAATGTAGTACAGTAACCATAGATGCCATAGATTCATATATGTTTTTTTGTAGGACAAGCTGCAAGTAGACCAGTTTCTTCAGCTCCACATTGTCCGTCTGAATGCAGTTCACCACGTCTGCAAAGAGCGCCGAGACGTCTTTGCCCACCGTCATATTGGCGATGACCTACAGCACCCCGCAGATGGTTTGGAGAAACCGTATGGAACATCTGTGATTGATATCATTGGGGCATTCATAATCATTAATATGTTTTATGTAGGAACTATGGTTGAAACTGTGGTTGAAACACCAGCTAAATTTTGGGTTTTATCTCCATTTCCCTTGAAGAATAAAGATCTGTGAAAGGCGCAGGCGAACGTAGCACTTCACTGACCAAACAGGGGGTGATCTTTATCTGGTTGGTGGTTGACCTACCCCTCTGAAAAATATGAGTTCGTCAGTTGGGATCATTATTCCCAACTGAATGGAAAGTCAAAAGTCATGTTCCAAACCACCAACCAGTTATAGTTAGTTGTAACAATGGTACTAACCACCACAAGTTGGGATATGGGGGCCCTACAACTGTGGTTGAAAATATCCAGTCACATCTGGGACTGCACCCCCAGTCGCCCCCAAGTAGGTATTCCCAGAATCGGCTAGATAAACTCAACACTGAAGGAAGTGGTACAAACCACCATAATTAAACAAAAACATCAGCAGGGGTCTTCTTCATGTCTCACCTGCAACTCATTTCCAACTGGGTGATAATTCACCATGCTACACCAGGGTCCTTGTCCAACTCGTTCACTGAAAAAAATCACATGCGCAAAGTCACCCAATCTTCACCCAGAAAACAGACCCAGTTGGGGCAAATGGCTCTGTCTTCATAGACCATGGATCTATTTCATCCTCTCGGTGTCCCAATCCTATGGCTGTCCCAACCAGTTTTGGGGAATAACCATTGGTAATTCACCACTCTGCTAAAAGACCATCTCTCCAAATATCTGGATGCATGTCCCTACCATCGCCAGCGTGACGTGATGGTTAGGGGTTGATGTCAGTCACACAGATTAAATATTGTTGCTAGCCTACATAATATTATTGGTTATAGCTAGCCTACATAGTATATAGACTTATAGATCCCAATAGCGACTAAAATCACCATAAGATGCTAGGTTATAAAGAAACTTCATTGTTGAAGATGACCTGGGACTTAGTGACTATGGGACCCATGGGACCAAAGCAAGCTGCTTGGTGGTTTATATATATATATATATATGCTGTTAATAATGGTTAATATAAGGATATTACATGATATATGGTTATTATATGGTTATTAGTTATTATATTGTTAATATTAATGGTTAATATGAATGGTTAATATTAATGGTTATGATGATGGTTAATGATGGTTAAAAATAATCTGGTTGGTGGTTGACCTACCCCTCTGAAAGATGATGGACTTCGTCAGTTGGGATGATGACATTCCCAACTGAATGGAAAAATAAAAGTCATGTTCCAAACCACCAACCTGCAAGGTGTGGCCATGTGTGGCCTTCTTGACAGCATCTTTCTGCTTCTGCTTGTCATTGGCATGAAGTTCTTCCTAGCGGTTTCCGGAGGGGATCTCACCACCATAAAGAACAATCGAAAATGGTGTGGTAAAAAACATCTTCAAAATTGTCGAACTACCACATCCTTTGGTCTAAATACATGAAAATCTTCAAACAAATATGGAAAACAATGGAAAACAACTGTTTTCCATGTGATCCATGAGAAATCTTATGGATGGTGCCATGGAATTACTGCTACCCCCATACTGCTATGACGTGACGTAGTTACTATATGAGAACTGACCACTTTACCCCAGCGAAATGATCATCCAATGAAGACTTGCCGAACCACCAAACTCAAGAAACACGAGCAGCAAAAACCTGTATCATATCTCAAATTGCAGGACATTTTGTCATGTTGTCCTCATGTTTCCGTGCCCTGCCCCAAAAACCTGGTCCTTCAGCTCTTGAATTTCTCCTCGCTTTGTGGTCTGGAAGAACTTTCCATCGTTTTGCTTCTGCCGCATCGCCACCATCGTGCCAAATCGCGGCACCTTAAAGGAGACATCGATGCTGCTCAAACGCTGAGGGAGTGGTCAGGTCCCTTCTAGCCGATGGATTTCCACTTTCAAAGGTAGAAACAAACATCGCGAAGTAGTGGATGTGTTGGGTCTTCCAATGGTTTTTACCAGCCAAAAAAAAAGGTTTCACCAGCAAGAACGTTTTGTTGAGAGAAATTGACTTGCTGAGTATGTACTGTAAATGCTGCCAAAAAAGGTGACTTCAACAGCAAAATCAAGATAATTTCAACAGCAACCAATTAGAATTATTTAAGAATTATATGTGATACATGATAGGTTTCTGTTGGCTTTTACCTCAAAAAAACAGGACCTACGGTGGACATTCATTTACAAACGAATTGGTAAACATCAACCAACAAACGGAACTATTGGGGGTCCATGTTGTACAGGTATTTTTGGCCTTCAATTTTCTTCTAAGCCCATCAAACATCGTCAAAGTATATCATATACATACAGTATATATCTACCATAGACTATAGTTCACTCACTTACAAACCATCTTAGCTAACGAACCGGGGCCCTACCTCGTACTACAACTTACCTCAGCTCAAGAAACGCGCGCAAGCTCTAGCGCCGCGCAAGGCTGGCGCCACCCGAGCCGAAAAGTGGCAGCGTTGGACTCGCTACGACACTGTGGCAATCCCGATGTTGTCATATCCAAATAGTGATTGTTTGCAAGTCTTAAGCTACATATGAATATTAATGGATTCAATAATTATAATATGGAGGTTATGACATTTTTTGGGAGCAAGTGTTCTGCCACTGAATAGTTGCCACTGACTAGTTGAAGAGTTTCCTTCTGTCGGAGCTCATTCGTGAACACCTTGCAAGACCAATTGCCTTGTCAAGCGATGTCACAAGACAACCCTATGAACTCATGTTTGGAACCAAGATGGTCCAGTGGAATTCCTGGTCATCATGGCAATGGGGCTCCGGATGGCTCCGGCCATTTAGTTTCTGGGCGCAAATCAAGCTGATAGACTACATAAGTATCACGGTGCTCTTGGCACGGGAAAACTACTGTTTTGACATTGGTCAAAATTGAAGACACCGGTACTGACTTTCAAGAATGAACCATCCATAACCCATACTTTATCATTTTGAATATCGTATTTTTTCCCCTACCCCCATGATACCAGCTGGTAACACTCAAAACATATTCCATCTATAAGACAACAACGGTTTGTTCCAATAATATCAATAATCAAGTACCCAAAAGGCCAGTGCTTCATGGAAATGTTCCATAGGGAGACGAATCTCCATTTCTGGCTGAAAACCATAACATGTTGCACACATTCCCATTAGGTTCCCTTAGATGTATGAACCCTAATCATCTACCTGGGGATATCCTATAAATTTGTGGTTACGCATTGAATATTTAACATGTAATTCATGTAACCCAAAAAATAATATGTCATGCATGGACATGCCACATTCAATAGTAACATGTTTTTCCAAAAAAAAAGAGTATCTTGGGGTTTTGCGCAAAACTTAGATGTCTATACGATGGTCATAACATGGATTCCCCCAAGCCGCAGTTCGGCCTTAGGCACTTGGCGCCCAAAGAGCAAAATACGTGGAAGCAGGTCCTGTGGCGGCCCAGGCCATGAAGAAATCAGGGTGATACCCAACCATTCACGAATTCTTAGTGGGAGAATCATCTACACATGGCTTAATGCAGCATATAATTGGCAACCTTGGTGATACAATGGGTCCATCATGGGGATATAATGTAGCTATAATATTGTTCGTTCATGTCGGCTAGTCATCTACAATTGGTATTCTAGTGGGATACATACTAGGAAAAATAATATATATATATGGGGGTTGTCCAAAATACCTTTTCCCGGACAGCCCTCAATCGCTCAGCCAATCGCGTAGCAACCGCGGTACCACAGTGAGCAATCGCGGAAGGGTTTGTTCTTCGTTGATCAGATCATATACATAAAATATAAGTTATGTATTATATAATGAGGATCCATGCCTGAACGCATTCGATTTCAAATTTGGGAACAAAATAAGCTCGCGCGGTCCGGAAACGGTCCGGAAAACTCACAGTAGTACCAGCAGCAGTAGTACTAGTAGTACTAGTAGTACTAGTAGTACTAGTAGTACTAGTCGTAGTAGTAGTAGTAGTAGCAGTAGTAGTAGGAGGGGTAAGAGTAGGAGTAGGAGTAGGAGTAGGAATAGGAGAAGGAGTTCTAGTAGCAGGGCAAGGGAAGAAAGGGAGAGGGAGGGAAAGAGAGAAAGAGAGAGAGAGAGAGGGAGGGATGGGGAAACAGATGGTTGCGTTTGACCGGTTTCTGACGGGTTTCTGACTGGTTTCTGACTCGTTTCTGACCCTTCAGCGGAACTCGTGTCAATTGGATTTAAAAGCAAGAGCAGAAATTCCTAGGTGTACTTGTGGTAGTGGTGGTGCAGTAGCAGCGGGTGTGGTGGTAGTACTAAGAGTAGTAGCAAATCTAGTAGTGGGAGTAAGGATCCATGCGTGAACGCATTCGATTTCAAATTTGGAAGCAAAATTAGCTTGCGCGGTCCGGAAACGGTCCGGAAAACTCACAGTAGCACCAGCAGGACTAGCAGTAGCAGTAGCACTAGCAGTAGTGGTAGTGGAAATTGCAATAGGAGTAGGCGTAGGAGTTCTGATGGGAGGGTGAGGGAATAGGCAAGGGAGAGAGAGAGAGAGAGAGATTGCGTTTGGCCGGTTTCTGACGGGTTTCTGACTGGTTTCTGACTGGTTTCTGACTCGTTTCTGACTCGTTTCTGACCCTTCACACGAGTGCAATTGGATTTAAAAGCAAGAGCAGAAATTCCTAGGTGTACTAGTGGTAGTGGTGGTAGTGGTGGTGCACGGTGGTGCAGTAGCAGCGGGTGTGGTGGTAGTGCTGGGGGTAGTAGCAAATCTAGTAATGAGAGTAAGGATCCATGCGTGAACGCATTCGATTTCAAATTTGGGAGCAAAATAAGCTTGTGCGGTCCGGAAACGGTCCGGAAACTCACACTGCACTAGCAGTAGCAGTAGCACTAGCAGTAGTGGTAGTGGAAATTGGAATAGGAGTAGGCGTAGGAGTTCTGGTAGGAGGGTGAGGGAATAGGCAAGGGAGAGAGAGAGAGAGGTTGCGTTTGGAGTAGGAGTAGGAGTAGGAGTAGAAGTAGGAGTAGGAGTAGGAGTAGTAGTAGGAGTAGTAGTAGTAGTAGCAGTAGTAGCAGTAGTAGTAGCAGTAGTAGTAGTAGTAGCAGGAGTAGTAGAAGTAGTATTAGTAGCAATGATAAGAGCTGAGGTGGATGGATGGATGGATGGATGGATGGGATGCTAGGCAAGTGCTGCCTTTTTGGTGTTTCTGACCTGTTTCTGACCTGTTTCTGACCTGTTTTCAATTGGAGCTAGCTTGAATGTCCTTCTGCCCTGAAAACATCTGCGCGGATTCCGCGCGCGCGGAATCCGCGCGGCCATGTCAATTATTGGCATGGTTCTGGTCTCGAAAGTAGTAGTAGTAGTAGTAGTAGTAGAAGTAGAAGTAGTAGTAGTAGTAGTAGTCGTACTCGTACTAGTAGTAGTAGTAGTAGTAGAAGAAGTAGTAGAAGTAGTAATAGTAGTAATAGTAGTAATAGTAGTAATAGTAGTAATAGTAGTAATAGTAGTAATAGTAATAGTAGAAGTAGCAATGATAAGAGCTGAGGTGGATGGATGGGTGGATGGATGGATGGATGGATGGATGCTAGGCAAGTGCTGCCTTTTTTGTGTTTCTGACCTGTTTCTGACCTGTTTCTGACCTGTTTCTGACCTGTTTCTGACCTTTCCCGGAGTCTTCTTCAACTTCAAAAAAATCAGCACGGGCAGTCAAACTAGGAATAATTTTAGTGATCGTCAAAGTAATATCATTACTAGTGCCCCAAATACTAGTACTAGTGCTACTAGTAGTAGTAGTAGTAGTAGTAGTAGTAGTAGTAGTAGGAGGAGGAGTAGAAGTAGTAATAGTAGTAATAGTAATAGTAGAAGTAGCAATGATAAGAGCTGAGGTGGATGGATGGATGGATGGATGGATGGATGGGATGCTAGGCAAGTGCTGCCTTTTTGGTGTTTCTGACCTGTTTCTGACCTGTTTCTGACTTGTTTTCAATTGGAGCTAGCTTGAATGTCCTTCTGACCTGAAAACATCTGCGCGGATTGCGCGCGCGCGGAATCCGCGCGGCCATGTCAATTATTGGCATGGTTCTGGTCTCGAAAGTAGTAGTAGTAGTAGTAGTAGTAGTAATAGTAGTAGTAGTAGTAGAAGTAGTAGTAGTAGTAGTCGTCGTACTCGTACTAGTAGTAGTAGTAGTAGTAGTACTAGCAGTACTAGCAGTACTAGTAGTAAAAGTAGTAGTAGTAGTAGTAGTAGTAGTACTAGTAGTAGTAGTAGTAATAGTAATAGGGTGGTAGCCGTATAACCAATCGCCAACCAATCGCTCAGCCTATCGCGATGCAGGTTTTAGCAATCGCGCAAAGCAAAGTAAACGCATCAATTCATAAATTTGTGACCTGCTTTTACGGACGGCTCCCATATATATACGGGAACAACACCAGCATTTGTAAGATATGTGAAAAAACCCACAAAAATGAAGGTGAACAACTGTTTTCGACCGGGGTTTCTCTCTGGCTGTTTACAAACGATATTGTTTTTTGCATCCTAGTGGAGTTGCTAAGCCAAGTACCTCCCCAGAAGGTACAAAACCACCCCCAAATCATAGCCCGGTCAGACTCTCTCAGAAGGTACGCCTTTGACCGTATCTGTAGGTCAGTTTCCTAGGACACCATATGAAACCATGGGTTTTCCACATCTTTTTGTTCCCCCAGGGTGTCAAGGAACGCCGCTGTTCGCCGCCCTGCCTTCAACATGTCAGCCACCAGAGCCTGGAACTCTGCAGTACTCTTGGCCTTGACTCCTTGGGCAAAATGGGGCATCCTTCCCACATGGCAATTTTTGTGGAGGAAAAATGATGGAAAATGTTCATGAACATTTTCCATTATGATTGACCATAGGATTTTGGGGGTAGCCATGGGTAGCCTATTTTCAAACACAGCCATTTGGGACCATACAATGGGTGATGGAATATTTGTTGGGATGGGATGAATACATCTCATCAACACGGGGCGGTGGTGCCCCATCCTTAGCAAAGTTGGTTTATAAGTGACATAACCAGGCTTTATGGCAGATATATCTGGGTAAATTATACTATTTCACTAACCTGAAACTTGCGGCCATTTGGGGATGATTTCCCTGAAATTAACCATTATTCCAGGGTTCCGGCGAACAGGGTTCGGTCGTTGTAATTTACCCAAATATATCATAATATATCCTGGCTGGTGGTTTCAAACCCTCTGAAAAATATGAAAGTCAATGGGAAGGAGGACATTTCATGTATGAAATGGAAAATAAAATTCATGTTCCAAACCACCAACCAGTATCTATAGTGAATGAGGCTTACAAAGCGACATCAAAACGTCATCCCAGCCGCGTCCTGACTCTTCCCGAGGACCACTCGCTGGTGTTTCTGCCTGCAGGGATGGCCCTTTCCGAAATTGGCAGATCCCTGGTTTTAGGCGACTTCGAAGTGCTTACTGGCTGAACCACCATGAATCACTATGTTTATGGCGATGATTTGTGATAGACCATGATTCACGAACTATGATGAACCATGGAATTCGGGTTACCAAATTTTGAAACACGCCATTTTGACCAGCGCATGTAGCTTAAATGAGCCAGATTACATCCCGTCTTGGCAGTGAAGTCCCTGTGTTCCACGGTCAAAAGCTCATTATATTGTGGTTTGCCGGCTCAAATAAATTTTGTTGACCTGTAAAAACTGACTAATCCTACCCAACTATCCCCAAAATAATAGCCAGATCTTTTTGCGCCAGATCCACGATGATCCACGGGATCAATCCCATCGAGGTCTTGTGATCCCACACGCTCCATGTATGGATTATTCACCAGTGTCTACACTAAGAATTGTCAAAATCTAGGCAAGTATACAATACATGGAGCATATATGGGATTCGTGTTTTTCAATGTTCTTCAGTAATGGAGTTCTAATGAATTCTCCATTGCCGCTAAGCTGATTCAAAATTTGTTTCTTCTTGTCTGTACGTGCGATAAATCCACACCGGAACCGCAATGACAATGGGAAATTAAGGTGCTGAAATACACAAATGCAAAGGTAAATTGTGCCTCTTGACACAAACAAACATATACATTCTCCCTCAGCATCATTACCATCACTAGGCACATGGAAAAACTCAACCTGCTGGTTTCTTTTCTGGCCTATTTTCGGACCCACAAAGTCTCAACAAATCTGAACAAAAATGCTTCGCATCAACACACATCTCCGGAAACCGCCAGAAAACCCCATGAATTTGAACATTTGGCAGATCAAAACCAGGATTTATTGTGTGGTTGTTTACCCTCTGGTTATTTAACATAGCCATGGAAAATCACCATTTTTAATAGGTAAACCATCTATAAATGGGCCATTTTCCATGGTTATGTTCAATAAACAGAGGGTAACTATCCTTATCTCCATAGTTGCCACTCTTCGATCCCATTCAACCAAATCGATCCAAATTGTTTTTAATTGGTTTGTACACGTCTCCAGTTGAAACAATAGAATAAAATTTGAAACCACCCATCGAAGGTAACTATATATATATATTGCTATATCATGCTATATCATTATACCCTAGTGCCCTAGTGCTCCAAACACCTTCAAGAGCAGCATCTCGGTTTGTGTTTTGTTTGGGTTCCAAACACCTTCTATCTGGATATTTGGAGCACTCAGGATATATCACATAATTGTTGTTTTTTTCCATCCAATCACCACTACAAATCCCGAGTTTTCCATCGAATCCTCTTGAAAAACCAATGTTTTTCATCAATTCACCGTTAAAAAAACAATCCCCGTTCAAAAAAAAAAAAGGTGTTCCATCAATTCCCCGCTAAAAAAAAACAGAAATTTTCATAATTTCCCCCTTCAAAAACTCAGTGTTTTCAATGCCCCGTTGAAAAACACAAGGCCTGCGGCACTGGTATTGGTGGCGTGTCAGCGCCCTCGGCCACCTCGCTGGCCTTTTTGTGGTTTTGCCATATGGGAGCAGGTCCAGTGTAGTTGCATATATTCAATATAGATTGTATGGATCATATACATATCTGTATTTATATATATATATGATTATAGGAAAATATATGGATCATCCATGATATGGATAACAGAACAGCGGGACATACCAACTACCTACGAAAAATACTAGCCATAACTATTATAATAAGACAACAATAAAGGAAGAAACATGAAAACAACATAACCACAATAATACAAAGGACTCATTCTTACATGGGTAGTATTCTGGTTCCATCCATATTACAGTAAGTGGAATCTGTTATAATGGCAATATCATGGATTGGATGGAGTATGTGGATCATATGGACTCTAAATAGGGATCCCATTATGGTAAATATGATAATAGAATGTAATAGAATGGTATTATGATAATAGTGGATCATATTATTGATAGGATTACACGATAATATTGGATAATGCAGAATGATATTCTATGGTAATACAAGCGTAGTAGATTGATTTTTACGCATATATGAATCATTTTTTTACAATGGAAACTATGTATATATATATATATATATATATATTGGTGATATGTTGAACATTTAGTAATACATGACAATAAATTGTGATATATATATATATATATGTATTGTACTGGTTACATGTGATGACTAAATGAACTGTTCTATAGTAGTATATAGTAGATGTATAGTACCAAAAGTCTATGGGGTATAGATGTATGTATATGTATGTGTATATATATATATATTTCTGCTATTCTATATATGGGTAATATGGTACATATCCATACATATCCAGCAATAAATTACACTGGTAATATATGCGACTATTTCTTTGCTAGTATTTGGTTGGATATGTTGTTTTAGTCACGGTTAATCAACTTGTATATATAGTCAGAACTGCAGATGTAAGTTCGGAACAAACATAACCCCACTAGCATGTTTATACCAGGTTATACGATCTGGTTGTGTCAAAATAGCTATTGACAATGACCATAGAAATAGTGGATTCTCCCAGCTATAACCTGGTGATTTTCCAGTTCGTTATGTAAACGTTTACCAGGTTATACTATGTGGTTTCTAGTTTCACCAGGCCTTTAAAAGAACCAGGGCTGTTGCAACAACTGGTACCGAAAAAAACCCGCCATCAAATCATCAAATCTCCAGGGTCGCCCTGCCATCAGCATGATCATGCTGGCGATGTCCTCGGATAGGACACGACTTTATAACGCAGCGAAGGGCCAAACATGTGATGATACAATGGTAAACACGTATATATATATATATATATATATGTATACATAGTTCTGTATTGGTTATCTAATTATTAGTTCTCTATTTTTTTTTATACATACTTATTTATATAATTCATTATACTTGGGATTGTGTGGAAATATTAATATACAAACAATTTGGTGAGCTTAAAATAACCAAACAACTTCTGGTAAGCAACTGGCATCCAATATGCAAGCATGCACCGCGTCAAATAAGCAATTGGTAATTAGGATAATATATGATATATTATAATCCATGAAATATATATATATATATATAGAGCAGCTACATAAGTGCGCTGTGACCTCGTGTATTCCCTTTACAGCAGGGCCAACTTAGCAGACTCCTTGGCGGTTGAGCCACCGCCTGTATAGCGCCATGGGAAAAGATGTGTGCTTGGGATGGAAACGATATGCGTATTTCACAAGTCACCAAATCATGGAGGATACTCAGGTTCTTATGGTTCTTATGGTCTTGTGGAATTCTTATCCAATGGTTGATTAACACCCTTGTTTCCATGCTAAATTAGTGTAGAATCTGCCCGTCGCAGCGGTGGGAAAACTGATGGCTATCGCACAAGGACCATGGCGTCGTCGGCGTTTGGCCGCTGTCCATATGTGCGGGTCACATTCTGACACACTGAGATACACACCGCAAAATGACTGTTGGGAATGTGAAAAATGACACACTGAAAATTGGATTCAGTATCAGAAAATTCAGTATCCAATTTTCAGTGTGTCATGATATCCCTCAAATAAGTGTTTTCATGCGCAAAATGCTGATGAACTGGATTTGGATATCTGAGATACACTGATTTTCAGATATCCCTCAAATAACTGAGATACACTGATTTTCAGATATCCCTAAATAACTGTTTTCATGCGCAAAAAACCCTGATGAACTGGATTTGGAGTTGGGAAGTACCCTTTTTTCAGACAAACCCAGTTTGTAAGAAAGTGACAAAACTCAACAGCCAAAACAAAAAAATGGTGCTTTCATCGTTTTATATCGTTTTCAGAATCAATGGATACCCTCTGGTGAACTAACATGGCTATGGAAAATCACCATTTTTAATGGGTAAAGCCACTATAAATGGTCATTTTCAATAGCTATGTTAAATTACCAGAGGGTATGGGTCAAAAATGGGATGTGTAATGAACATTGGAGCTGCTTTCGGATCGCTGAGGTTTTCAGATCCAATGCAACATGGACTTTCTGCAGCTAACGTGTTGGCTATGCAAGATACCCCCTGGTTGTGTCAAAATAGCTATTGAAAATGACCATTTATAGTGGCTTTACCCATTAAAAATGGTGATTTTCCATAGCCATGTTAGTTCACCAGAGGGTATATGCACGACTTTGCAACCGACCTCGAGGCAAAATGCGAGGCTTGGCAGCAAAGAAACATAGCGGCTCTGCAGGAGCTTGCGCAGGAGGTCCGCTTCTTCTTCAGCTATCTGCGCCCGATTCTGCAAACTTTTCACCTTTCTTTTCTCTTCTTCATTCTGAAGCTTCTTTACCATTTTCTTCGCTGTGCACACGGCCATGATGACGAACCAAACTGCTCAGCTGGAAGTTGTCGGATGCAACGGCGATTCAGAGAGTGTCGAGGCAAGTTGTGTTTTTCATCCAATTAATGTTCATTAAATCCCCAAATCGTAACCAAAAAAAATAACACCCCAAAATATGGGCAATTACTATGTGGTATTCAATGATAGCGCCATGATTATAAACCCATTATTTACACATGGTATTCCCACGATATACTCATTCTATGTCCAACTATTGTTGGTTAAATCACATGTCCATAGCAAACATCAATGACATTAAGTTACACATAGTTATTATCCATTATTATCCAGTATTATCCATTGATGTCCATTGTATATCCATTTTTATTCCTTAAGTAACCCATTTTCATCCCATGGCCATGACCACCATGACCACCATGGCAGTGCCATGACCACCCCCAGTCGACCACGGCACTGGTCGAGTATTGGGATCTGTTTCACTCATGCGGCGCCTCAGCATCCAGATGATCCGGACAGGCCGGGTGCTTGGACGGCCGCATTCGCGGGGCCCACATTCAGTGGAAATTTATATATATATATATAATAATGATAATAATAATTATTATTAATAATAATAACAATAAAACTAATTAATAATAATTATTACTAGTATTCTTATTATAACAATAATAATAATAATAGTAATAGTGATAATAGTAATAATAGTAATAGTTATAGTAATAACAATAATAGTAGTAATAATAGTGATGTATATATATATATATGGTGACATAATGACATCATAATTCATACATGTGTATATGTATATATATATATATGTTTTTGTATGTTTTTTTTAAATAATCTAAGACATTATCAGAATTCACATGAAATAAAGCCAATGACTGGAAGAATCCTGTGAGCATCTATGGCTAGTAAATGCAGTACCATACCAGGAGAACTTCTGTTTGGAGGGAGTTGTAACTTGTAAGCTACTTGAGACCTATCTGCTACTGAATCAAATGAAAGGGTCAACCCATAAAATTGTTTCAATTTATCCAAGGCTTCGGTGGATACAACTCTCAACTATATATTGTAAGCGGCTGAATGACTCACTCATTCCGTTCAGAAGCAACATATTTTCACGGTTGCCTGTCTCCGGTTCCTTGACAGCCACCTACCTCAGAGCCTTGTTAGTGAGAACCCTCCAGCCTCCATAGAGAAAACAAACAGGAAAACATCTAAATCTATTATATATATATATATATATATATATGTATACGTATGTATATATATGAGCCACCAAAAAGAAAGAAAAAACAATAATCATTATCTTAGCAGGATTTAACTTTTCTTTCTGTTTGGGGATTAATATCAGTTCATCATCAACTCCACGACAAGTACCATCTGGTTATTTCACATCGCTATGGAACATGGCCAATGGCCTCATAGAAATAGATGATAAAAATGATGATTTACCATTTACCGTTCTCAAAAATGATGATTTTCCATTTAGGCCCATTTAGTCCCATTGAATCCCTATCAAACACGGTGATTTTCCCGTTCGCAATCCGTGAGAAATTGCCCCGCCGGGTTCCCCCTGCTCCACTTGCTCTCTCGAAAA